CATTTTCGTGCATTTTGAAAGTGTGGCAACTCCCGTCAACTTATAGGAAATGCCAGCAAACAAGTTGGCAACTCAAAAATACTTTTTACAGACTTCATCACTAAAAATACAAATTGACATCATTTTACATCGCTTATAAGCTCAGATTCCACAACAAGCTATCAACTTTAAAGCTTCAATTCACATTTGAGCAAGTTGGCAACACTTTTAACTGTTTGCAACCCGCCGAGCTTATCAACCTGACGATTTAATCACGTTTTATGCAAACATTTGCCTTATCTGCATATAAAGTTATGAAATGCGCATCGATGACGAATAGTTACTTTTGTCTTATAAGATTAGAGGCGTAGTATACTAATCAAAACGTCAAAACCATAAAAAAAAACCCACCTTACAGCAAAATATATATATATATATTTTCAAGCCTAACCCAAAAGCAAAGCTTCGTTGCAGTTATTTTTAAATCGTGACTGCAAAGAAATTACTTATACAACTTGTCATTTAAGTGAATGATGTGAATGATGTGAACAATAACAACGTCAACAACAAAATAACTTTGCTGATGATTATCATCATAATAATTATGTGGTTTAGCTACAGTTGCTGCCGCATTAACACCTCAGACAGCGCTGCTCGCCCACAAGCCAACTTCTCCCAATTGTAGGCACAGTCAAATTATTGTAAACAAAATGAAAATGTTAACAAGTTGCCAAATCGCACAGGAAATTACCGAAAAGGGGGGGTGGGGGCGATTGGTATTGAAGCAAGACGCAAACAAAAATAACCAAAGTTAATCAGCAAACACTCGACGTCAATTTATTGATTAATACCCTTCGATTAGCGTAGCCATAAAAATATTGACTGAATAGACTCGTAATTGCGCTGAGCGGGATGGAAAAGCGCCAAGGGAAAGAAATGTGTCCAAATTTGTTTTCATTGATGGCGCCAACGTCGAAACCGTCAGCACAGGGCAGCTCTTTCAAGTGTCTATGCAAACAATGCAGCTAAAGTGTTCAAATGGGAAACACCCTGTAAAGAAGCTATTGTTTACCTTAAGTGGAAGTAGACTTAAACCTATCATGAAATTGCCAACTGTTCAAGTTATGAATTTAACAAAAAAAAATCAAAAAATTATATTTATAAAAATGATATTATTTTACAAAATGATGTAACTGGCAGTAGGCAGCATCTCTGGCAGTTTGTAAGTTTGTAGTCCGTCAGCAGCATACCCTTTCTTTAAGCCAATTTACAGGTTATACGAAATGAAATTATATTTTAGGCGCCAGAGCTGCTCGAAGAGTCGCCAAATAGCTGTTGTTGTTGTTTGTGGCAGGAAGGAAGGCAGCCAAATCGACAGGCTTCTCTCTTGTTTTGTTTGCAAAGCCTTCTGGCTACGCAGCCTTATTTTTTTGTTGTTGTTTTTGTTGTTGTACAGATATAAATAAACCAAGCTCCACCCACAAAATTATGCTTTGGCAAGCCTTTTGTGTCGCCACAAACAACAACAATAACAGCACAAACAACAACAAGAACTGTCTTTACCTGAACTCTGTCAGACCCACTCCAACAACATCCGCACATGCCAGTTTTAAATGCAAACTTGTTGTTGTTGTTGTCATCATCACCATCATTAATATTGTTTTTGTTTTTGTTGTTGTTTTTGTTTTTATTGCATTCCATATTTTTGTAGCGCGATTCGTTTTTAGTGCGGGCTACTGTTAAATACAACAACAAAAAACCGCTCGTGAGTGTTTTTGGTTGTCTATCTGGCTTTATGACTGGACCCCAACTCCTCTTTCTACTGCTCCTCCTCTTCCTCTTGCTCTTCCTTTGCGTCTTCCGTTTTGCTGTGATTTGATAGCTACCGTATTTTTACAGAAGTGAGGAACTGACAGAATTGCCGACAGCGAAATTGGCGTGCAAATTGAAAGAATGAAAGAAGCAAAGCGTAAATTCGCTCCACGTTCTCATCAAATGAAATTTAAGTGGATGGCAAATGGGGCGGTGCTGACATCGAGCGTTTTATGGGGCGGACTATGCTGCAATTTATCGATAGACCAAGTAAAAAAAATTTATCGATTTCACAGCTGGATACAAACAGAACGTTTGAAGTTAAGTGCAAGATAGTAAGTGGCTGGGGAGAGTAGAAGGGGAGGGGAAGGGAGGACAGTAAATCGAATGAACAAAAAAAACCGTTTGATGATTGCAATTGAATCGAAATTGGAAAACGTTTGTAGGCAGTGACGGAAATGAAGGCTAAAAGCGATAAATAGAAAGAGAGCGAGAGAGAGAGAGAGAGAAAAGGAGATATGTGAAAGATAAAGATAGAGACAGCAGTCAGATCGATTTATGTTTTATTGAAGGCAATTTTCTCGTTTAGTTTTCGTTGCAAAATAATTGCCAGATGTGAAATTGTTTTCGATTGATATAAATTTCGCATTCGTTTGATTTCAGCCAAGTCATGGGAACAAAGTTGAAGGCTCACTTCTCTATTTTATTTATAAGCGGAAATTAGAACAATTTCTTATTTTTTTCAGGTTGAGGAAGAGGTGGGAAAAAGTTTCTCAAAGCAATAAATCAGCAACTCGCAACGGAAGCGATAAATGCAGAATTATGGGTTGCAATAGAAAACTGTAGATCTTAATAATCAATCGATAATCAACAAACAAAGAAAATGATTTTACAATTGTTTCTCGATGTTCTCTTGCTACCACATATTCGTAAACGTTTCGACTGCCAAGCTATCAATTTTGGCAAGGCAATGAACTTTCAATTAAATGATCTTCTTGATATTTAAAGTGCTAACAACACACACACAAATCTTGCCCAATACGAGTGGGATGAACTTGCAACGTATATGGAATATCCGCTGAGTTGCTGACACACCCATCAACAACTAACAAATGTAACAGGTTGTTGCTTACAATGTTGTGACAGGGTTTCAACTCAGATAATTGAGAAAATCAACACATTCTCGTTTTGCTGTTTGTTCAAATCTTGTTTTAGCTTCAAATACGCGCTGCAATTTCGCAAATTATTGCAACAAATGAAAAATGCGCGGAATGCGGTTAACAAAAGCAAGCGAACAACAACAACAAAAGCAACAACAACAACAACAGCAGATTACCTATCTGATAGCTTGGCTGAGACGTCGACGAAGACAGCAAAAGCGACAGCGAAAACAAATGAAATGATTCATCGACTCACTTTGACACACTGCTGAATTAATTATCCTCTCCCTCTCTCTCTCCCTCTCGCTCATGGTCAGGCGACAGCTCTCCGGCACGTGCGCTCTCTCTCTCTCTCACTCTCTCTCGTTTTCTCTCATTTGAACTTGAAACACGAGCACTTTAATTGCAAACAAATTTAAATGCCAATAAACAGCAAGAGACATGAAGACGATGCCAAGTTCTAAAAATAGACATTCAATGGACCCCCCCTCTCTCTCTCTCTCACTCTCTCTCTCTCTTGTTGTTTTTTTTCTTGTAGTCACGCTAACTGCGACTCAAAGTGAGAAGAGAGTGCAAGGCGAGCAGGCAAATCAAAACTGTTGCTGCTCAGCTTTGCTGTAAATACCCCTTGCTCGCTCTCACTGCACCCCTCTCTGACGATCTCTCTATATATCTCGCTCGCTCTCTCTCTCTCATCAGATATGACATGCGCTCGTCAACTCCAATTTCTTGATTAATTTGATTGATGATGGTGATTATGACTCAGTCAGTCAGTTGCGAATATCATCAAAAAGAGGGGGCGATGCTTGAGTGAGGCCATCATCAAAAGTGTAGAGAGCAGAGGGAGGGAGGTGGGCGGGCGAGTGGCTACCACTGTTTAGGTGTGAAAATCAAAATGAAGTATGCCAAATGGCAAATATGCAAATGATTTGTTAAATGGGTTTTTTTTTTTAATGTCTAAATTTGAATTCAAAGATACATATCTGGAATTAGTTGTATTTATCATACAATTTCAACAAAGAGCTGCACCTGTGTGTGGCAGCCACAACACAATCGCAACACGTAATCCACTTGTGCGCCCCCAAAAACACAGACTAATCCCCTTTGGTATTGTTTGTTGCAGCGCATAGATAAAGCGTTGGAAAACTTCTCTATCTGTCCGTTTGTTGTCTGTGCACTCGATGCCCAATTCCGAATAAATAAAAACCCTAAAGCCAAGCCCCATTTTACAACAATCCCCCCACCCCCGCACTTTCCCTCTCTCGCTCGCTCTCTTATGCGTCACATTCAAGTGCAGTGAACCATTTTGGGGCACGTCGCTCGGCCAGAAAAGAACAAAAAACATTTCCGTTCTGCGGCAGATGTGTAAAAAAAAACAAAATAAAATAAAAAAAAAGGTTATATTCTGTTTTGTTTGGTTTGGTTTTGTTTTGTTAAGCGGCCAACAGACAACAATCAATAAAAGTATAAAATTGTAGGGGGAAGAACAAATTGAAAACAATACAAAAATGTTGTTAAAGTTATTTCATTTTATTTCATTTAACTTCAAATCCGTAGTCAAACAATCGATGCGATTAATGCGAACAATCAAATCGAAGTGGACATTGAATTAAATTGCTAACATTTCTTTTGTTGCCTTGAATTGATTATGAACAACCCAAGATTGTGAAATAAATCAAGAGATTATCTTCCCAATTGTACAATACAAATACATATTTATATTTGCGTAGGATTTACGCCTTAGAACGTTGAAACTCAAATTAAACAAAACCAAAGTTTAGCCAAAACTTTGATTGCAAAGATGATTGTTTGCTGTTTTAGATACATTTGTTGTTGATTGCAAGGATGTAGCCAGGATTTGGGTATCTGAATTGACACCTTCAACATTAAATTGAAGTATCTTGGTGACCAGTGGGAGTTAACCAAACTAGCTACACCTAAAACGAATCCTAGCACGAATTGTGTGGCAAGTTCATCTCCACAGTTGAGATTAAATAAAAAATGCAAATTTTCCAAAATTTGTCCCTTGGCATTGGCCAGAAAACTTACCACCAGTGTTCGCATTGATTGCATTCGATTCCTTGGCATTGTTGCCATTATTGCTGTGCAGTATATCGGACAGGGATAATGAGGATGCAATCAGCTGACGCTTCTCCTCGAAGTTAAGGAAATCCATTGAGTTGCTGCGCTGTGGCGTGACTGTGATCGTCACCGATTTCTGCATGTTGGCCACAACGCACAGCTGTTGTTCCAGTTCCAGCTCGGTGACGACGGCCTTTGGTGAGTCGGGCGGAAATAGTCCGGCTGGATGATGATCAATGCCATCGGTGAGATCCGGCGGTGGCAACGCTTGTTGTTGTTGCTGCTGCTGCTGCTGCTGTTGCTGCTGATAGGCGAGATGTTGCTGCTGCTGCTGAGTGAAGAAGGCGAATGCTGGCTGCGCTGTTGCAGCACTGTAGGAGGGCGGGCCAAGGGTTGGGGCATGTGCAACACGTGAGGCAGCCGCTGGAGATAATTGATAGCCGCTGCTGCCGCCCTGTTGCCCCCCATCGGTCTGATCGTGCCCGTTTATGGCTGCCACCAGTGTGGCCAGATTGTTGCGACTTGTGGCACTGTTGTTGTTGTACTTGCCACCATTAGAGAGCTGCTGCTGCTGTTGCTGCTGCTGTTGTTGTTGCTGCTGCTGCTGTGCCTGAAATTTATGCTGTTGTTGCAGCTGTGCGAGCAACTGTTGCTGCTGCTGCTGATAGGCCATGTTGCCGCTACTGTTATTGCTCGCTTGTTGTTGCAACTTGTTGCTGCGCAGCGACATTTTCCCACCTTAGAATGAGAATATTCCGTTGCGTTCCACAGTTGTCCACATTTTGTTGATTGTTGTTTTAGTTGATTGTTGATTTTTGTTTTCGTTTTTGTTTATATTGTAATTAGTTGCACTCACGCGACCCTCGCAACTGACGCGTGGGTTGCTCATTTAGTTTGTCACAGTTTGTTTCACTTTCTGCGCCTGCTTTATGGCTTCACTTTTTCTTTAATTGCTGCAATCAAGCAATTAAAATACACATTTATTTATAACCGTGCCCCAAAACAACAACAACAACAACTAACAAACAATCGTAAACGACTTTTGACACCCTTGAAGAGTTTTTTATTTATTTTTCTTTTATTAATGTAGCATTTCTATATGCATTTTTGAAGACTTTTACTTTTACATCATCATAAAAGATATTAATTATTTTTTATTTTTCTTTCTTTAATACTTAATACTTTATGCATAGTTAACTTTAGTAAATATATTAAGAATTCAGAAGAGTGAGAATGAGAGAGAAGAAAAGAAAAGAAACTCAATGTGAAGAGCAATTGAGAAAAATGATTTTTAATTTGATGAGGATTAACCTAAAAGGCGAATGCACTTGCAACTGGTGCCGAGGAAGCAGAAGAGGGACCAGAACAGGGGAAGGAGGCAACAACAATCACACAGTCACTTTTCAACATCATCAAGCAAATGGAAATGGAGTTGGGGGAATCGCAGGAGAGAGCAGCTTGAAGTGGCAAGTGGCAGAGTTGCATGCAATGCCCGAGGAACACTTGACTGAAACAAAGCGAAACGAAACGAAACAAATTGCGACAAATCTGTCAAATGGTGGAAATGCAACAAGGAAATGAACAGAAGGTGTAGCTTCAACACACAAAAGCATTTGTGAAGGGAAAGGTGATGGAAAGAAAGTATTCAAATAGAAAGGGGAAAAAGGAAAAAGCAAGGACTTCTTCAAAGTTAAGTTCAAACAATCGACAAATGTTATGTCAACATTCTATTATTTATAAATTACCCTCCAGGTGCCTGGAAGGATGTTGAGTGCCACGCAGTCAAAGCATGAAGAGCTGCAAAGAGTTCTCTTTAAAGTTTAGTTTAAAGAATTGCCTGACTTTAAATGCACATTAAGATTTCTCACAATATCAGAAAAATATCAATCAAATCAAGATGATTAATATGTACAAATCTTCTCTCTTTTTTCCAGATTAAAGATTTGTCAAATTTTAAATTTTCATTAAAATTTCTGACAATATCATAAAAATATCAATCAAATCAAGATGATTACTATGTAAAAATCTTCTCTCTTTATTTTTTTGTAATCATCTTACAAATATTTTTGATTATCAAAAGGATGGCAAAAGAAACGATTTAAAATTTGGAAAAGCTTTAGCAAAATTGTGAAACGTTGTGTGAAATGCAATGAAATAGACATTTACAGTTCAAACAGGGGGATAGCAAACGAAAGCATTTCACTGAATCCGATTACCTTTAAGAAAACACACACAAAACACATTCTTAAAAAGAAAATCGTTTTTTTTTTTGTTTTTTTCGTCTTGCCACAGCCTTCCTTTTGCGTTGTGGCACAGACAGAGGCAATCCTTTTACAAAACCAGTTGCCAGCTCCTTGCCAGACAAATCTTATTAAACTACACTCAACAGCAGAAAGGAGGGGCAAACAGACAGAGAAAGAGAGAGAGAGAGAGAGAGAGAGAGGGATAGAAGTGGATAACAGGTCAGGTAGATTTCAACGTTGCTTGAGTTCAGATACCGATACATCAACAGTGAAGCAAAAGGGCGGGGCAGAGGCAGGGGCAGCGGGACAGACGCTGAACTGCACAGGTAAACGAAATGAGAATAAGGTTAAAAATGATGATGGCAGCAGGATACACACAAAAATAATAATAAAAAAATGTTATGATACGTGTGCCGACAAGTTCTCTGAACTGCAGACAAAGGGCGGGCTGGCTGGCTGGCTACGATGCAGAGAATTTAATATTCAAGACGCGTTTTCGCTCCTAGACACAACATCAAGTGAAAAATGCAATGTGTATTTAATTTATTTTCTTAAAAATCAAACACGCAACGGAAAAAAGCCAACCTTCAACAACTTTAGTTTTGCTCTGTGCGTAACTAAAGGAGAAAAGAATGGAGCAGAAAGTTGGCTAACTGTAGCAGAGATTGTTGCCACTGCCACTGTTTGTTTGGTTACTGTTACTGTTACTGTTCGTTCCAGTCAGTGTTGTTCCAGTGCGCTGAGTTTTTGGCACGTTAGTTTGGGGCTATTTGGCTTATGGGATTTGGCGCGCGCCGCTGCCAAAGCGTATTAAGAATAAAAACTCGGCCATGCCAAAGAATCTGAGAATTGGCTCAAATGTGGAGCAGTTGGCGCAACAACAAATCAACAGCAACAACATAAACAACAACGAATACAAATATAATAGGCATAAAAATCAAGAGCTCAGCATCAGCAACAATTACAATATGAAGCGTTTTATGGCAGAGAAAATGGCCACAATATTTACTTTAACGAGTGTCCAGTTGTGTGAGCGAGATAGCGCTATTTATCTGAGATGCATGCAACCGAGACACAATTATATAGCTCAGCCGTTGGGGACTATAAACATACTCTGTTAAGAGCGCTAAATTTATGTTAATTGACACTGCTGCATTCTGTTATCTTCTGATTTATAAAATGTTAAATATCACTGTTTTTTTATGTTTACAGTTTAGTGTTACAGTTTATGGAAATGTTAAATTTGAGTTTATTACAGTTCAATGTCTGCCCATTAATAAATCAAACAAGAAAAGTCGAGACGACTCCAGTTAGATTTAATTACAGGGTATGCATGAAAAGACATGATTAAATTAGCAAGTGCGTCGTCATCCACAGTTGCACCCCGTGGCAACGGGGGAACGGGGGTCTTTGGTGGTGGCGGCGGCATATTGCACATATGTGAAACGGAAAGCGATGACGCTGGCAACTTGTAACTTGCAACATCAGCGGTGCATATTAAATATGCATAAAAGGAATACAAAAAAAGGGAAAAAAAAAGAAGCTTAAAGCATTTGTCTGTGTGTGAAAAGCAAATACAACAAAGGCGCAGGCAGGCAGTGGCAACAACAACAACAACAACAACAACAGAAGCAGCAGCAGCAGCAGTAGCAGCACAATGGACTCTGACTGTGGGTCTCTTGTGGCGCTGTGGCAGGTTCAGTGAACCTTTACAGTTCAGTAGTTTAGCGATTTTTATGCCACTGTGGCACACAGCATAAAATGTTTATTTTTTTGTTTTTTGTTGCTTTGCTTTTGGGGGCTGCGCAAACTTTTGGGAAAGCCGAAAACAAAAAGTCAACAGCAACAAACAACAACAATGCTCTGCAAAAGATCAGCAAATGAAACAGAAAGGAAAGCGTTGTGAAACAGCTACAACAAAGGGAGAGGGCGTGGTTAGGAGGCGGAGATGGGCTGGCATCGATTAATATCGGAGCAACGCTGAGATTCAAATGCTGTTATTGTTGCCCCACTGCTCTACACATATATATATATATATATATATATGTTAATGTGTATTTGTATTTATGAGTTGATGGCGCCTGCAGCGCCAAAATCCAATCAAATCCAATTAACAGCAAAAAAGTGTAAAAGTGACGAGAAGAGCGAGGGGAGCAGATCTTTGTTCCATTACTCGAGCACGTTTCGCGCCATATGTAAACTGAGTAACAACAACAACAGCAACAACAACAAGAGCAACAAACAGCTTGCAGCACACGCGACTCGGAACAGAAACACAGAAGCAAAAGCAAACAACAAAGCCAAAGCAGCCGCAGCTCAAACTCAGCAGCCGCAATAACAGCAACAACAACAATAACATTCGTAACAGTAACAGCAGCGGCAGTAGAAGCAAACACTAACAGCAGCAACAACAACAGCAGCGGCCACCGACCGAAAATGCTCTCTGACCAACCAGCTGTCGCCCAGGCTTTGCCTGCACAGTGGCACGCAGCTGTTAATTATGCTCATTTGGTAATGTTTGCAACATAATTACAAATAGACTTTGCTATATGTCTACAATATTAACAGCAATTGCAATTTAATTTATTAAGTATACTGCATACATAAATATTGACAAACAATGAACACATCCGATTCCATATAAATAGGCACACTTTTTGCTAATCATCCTCAGCCCAGTTCAATTTGTATATGCACAAAGTTCAATAACCCAGACCCACTGTGCCACTGAGCTACTGCACATACTTTCACACACATACACACACAAACACATTTATTCGTTTGTGGGGTTGTTGCTAATGGAATACAATTCACAGGGCGGCTGCTGCAAATGGAGGCATTTGTAGGCAACAAAGTCTCATCGCCGTCTCCCCGTCTGCCTTTGTCCGCATGCAAGAACAACTGAACATCTGAACAACTGAAGAACTGAACAACAAAAGAGAATCAGACGGCAAATACCATTGAATGCCAGACAAAAAAACCCAAAGCAAAACTGAGAGCAAAACTGACGCTGCTGCTGGCGTCGACTGCGACGTCGCCGTCGGTGTCAAAGTCCAAAGCTGCAAAAGTTTTTGCTGGAACGGGGGATGAGGATGGGGTTGAGGAGGGGGCGTATGGCGAGGGCGACAAACCGTCGCAGTTAGTGCGTTGAAATATTCGCATAAATTTAAATTTGCCCACAAGAAAAAACATCCAGCCAAGAACGGAATGCGGGGTTGTAGGCAGAGGGGCTGTAAATGCGTTTTATGGGGGTTGCTGGATGCTGCCTTTTTGGGGGTTGTGTTTTCCATCAGTTGAAAAAGCAAAACAACAACAAAAAGTAGTAAAAATCGCAGCAGACTGTCAAGTGTGCGAGGCAGGCAGATAGACAAATCTGATAAAAAGAATGCCACACTATGCATCCACCATCTCCCTCGCACACACACACACACTGTGTATGCTTGTGTATTTCAATAATAGCAACAACAACAACAGCAACAACTAGAAGAAAAAACTGTCTAGACTTGTAAGTAGATAAAAATATATTTTCCAAAACGCCCAAAAAGAAATTACACAAAAATATGAAAAAGGAGAAATATTGTTGGAAATTATGCTGCAGTGTTGCAAACCATAGGAATTTCCGATAAGGAAGTAACTGCACTCAATGGGTGGGGGGTGAAAATTACTATATCGCTTGCGGATAAGATAAGCACGAAACTCGAACAAGCGTTACTTTCATGTTCAAATTCAATTTGCCACAACAGCGGAACACGAAACATAAAACAAATAAGTAACTGTAGAAGATAGAGAGATAGAGGGAGAGAGAAAGAGAGAGATGAAATTTGGTTTTGTATTTTCTGATTATAATAATAGTTTATTTAATTTGATGTTGTTTCTTTTTCACTTTTTTGTGTGAGTTTGTTTTGTTATTGATTTCACTTTTTTTTCCATAAATATTTAATGACTTTTATACACAAATTGCAGCTGTCGACGCTAACGTCGACGTCGACGTTGATGTTGATGTTCTGCCGCTGCTTGTTGTTGTTGTTGCTTGTGTATAACAGAAATAGAAAAACTGAAATTCAGACTGCGCTTTCTGCTGTTATTGTTGTAGTTTTGTTGTTGCTGTAGCTGGCACCTGTGCGACGCTGTTGTCGACGTCAACGCTGACGTTTCGCAGCTGCTGATGCTGTTGTTGTTGTTTTTTTTGTTAATTTCATTTTGTTTGGCTCATTGAAAGTTTAATTCACACCTGCACTTTTCAAAGGCTACACACACATACACATGCACAACGGCAACAGCAGTAATACAAATTTGTACAAATTTATTGGAATTCCTCACAAAATGTATGCAACAAAATGCGAGAGAGACAAAATAGCAGCGCACAGAATGCGACGACGTCGACGTTGACGTTGACAGCATCAGAAGTTGTAAAACCGGATTTTCTTTTTGGGTGCTCTGCAGTTGTTGTTGTTGACTTTGCACTTTATTTCATTTTATTTATTTTTTGATTCAGATTGAAATGAAAAACCTATTTTTGATAGTACACAAGTTTTTCTCTTTTTCTGTATTTTATTTTATTTTATTCGCTCGCACAGCGGCCACTCTTCGACTTCAGCGTCTTCTTCTTCTGGTTCTGCTTCTGCTTTGCCTTCGCATTCCAAAGAACGCTGCCATTTGTTTACCCGCCGTTGCGGCGTCTTTCTCTTCTTCTTCCTCTTGCTCTAACACTACTCAATTTTTTCTCTCACTTACACTTGCCTGCAGCTGGCGATAATAATTTTCGCAAGTATTTGCGTGTTTACTTTTCAACTTTACTAATGATTTACTAATAATTTAATAATTCACAATACACTGACAAATATACACAAACACTCGACACACTGACAGCCGCAACGCGACGCGACGCAACAGCGAAGAAAAAACGAGTAGCGACTAATACAAATTTCGTTCAACTATTTATTAGTTTGCTGAATTAATTTTTAACAACAATATTTATTTGTCGTTCGAATGCGTTTGTTATTTTTTGTTGTGTATGTATTAACCGCAGACCACGTCCAACTCGTCCAACGGTTTTTTTCGACTCACTGGCGAACAATCGGCCGAGAGAGACACACATCAACAGCAGAGGTGAGCATTGCTAGCATAGCTGTTACTGCTCACAAATATTTAAAGTCACATGTGAAAACTAGCAGTGATATCGTCATCATGACTAATTAACAACTGAATATAATTTTTAAAATATGTAATTCGCTTCGATATTTCTAGTATGATTTATATATATTATTACAATTACAATCACAGTTCTTGTCACTATTCATTTTGAAGTAGCAGTCACTTCAGAGCGGTGCTCATCTCTAGGGCATTGTGTGTATGTGTTAGTGTTTACCAGCTGCTTTGTTGCTGTTTTCAATACAAAATTACTCTCACGCTCGTCCGCTTGAATCGGTGTCTGTCTGTTAAGTTAACAGCATTATGCTCAGCGTATGTTAACTTCGTAAGCATACATTTAATAAACACAACGATTGTTGAGTGTAATATATATATAATGAGTATCTTTAATGTTATAAATATTAGTGATTTATTAAATACTTTCAGGTTTATATTTACCAATGACTCAATTATTTCAATATTTATCAAATTTAACAAGCGACAGTTGTGCAGTCTGGCAACGCTGCCACCGGAGCGAGGCAATAAACAAATAAAGAGAGCGAGAGAGACAGAGAGAGGGAGAGAGAGAGCGCGCGTGTATAAAATTTATAGCATGCGACTGGCATGTGAATAACATAATTCCCACAAATCAAAATATAAAAAAACAAATATACAAGCAACGACAATTGAAAAGTATGGAGGGGATTAAGGGAAGTTAATTAGCCGACAAATAAAACAAAAATATTATTTATAAAATGAGAAAGAATTATGTTTTTATGCCTATTGAATTTGAAACGTTAACAGAACTTAAATTTTTATTTTAATTAATCGAATCACTTTTGATGATTAGGAAATGATTTATGGCACCATTTTGCTCTTTGTACAACTTATACACATTTTTATTAGTAGTAGTAATTGCCAATTTCAGCTAAGCAAAAAAAAAAAGCAAATAAAATGTTGAAATTTTTTGCCTCAAGAAATGCCATTCCAAAGCTATTTACAATCCACTTAAAATGCGTAAAAGGCTCCATAAAACTATCTCCATCTCTTTCGCCCACACACACACACACACACACACAGACACACACAGACAATAGCATAACATATGCATGTATGTATTTGTAAATATTTATGTGCGTATTTCTCATCCCATTTCCATTCCAGCCCATCTGCCACCCACAAAAAGGCAACTTTTGAGTATTTCCCAAGCAAATGAAGCAATCAAAAATGATATGTTGATATTGTTGTTTTTCCATTCCACTTCAATAGTATTTTACCTTGTTTACCAAAACAAAAAACTATTCGGGATAAGTTGGAATTCTGTCTATTTCTATTTTTAGACACAAGCACAAATATTGTGTTGGTTTTTTTTTTGTTTTTCTCTTAATTTTCGACAACATTGAGAGTTCCTATAATATACATATATAAATATATATTTATATAGTATATGCATATGTAGCACAGGAAACGGAAGCATCGACATCATGAGGGGGAGGGGGGGATGTAAGCGTCTGTCCAGAAATTGTTTGGGTAAAAATGCCGGTAAGTGTCTCAGCGCAGGCGTTGTGAGCGAGAAAGAGAGCGAGCGACTGGGAACACGTAATAACAACAGTTGCAGAGTCACGCTGCAACAGTTTGAGCAGCGCTGTGTAGCGTTTGTCTGCTTTTTTTTATAGCATGCGATTTATTGCACACGTAATGGCTGCAAAACTGTTTGAAGCTGTTTAAAAATGAAGTGAATAATGAATTATAAATGGCAAGCAAAATGTGCAAAAGAATTTCGCATGTAGGTTAATTTATAAAAAGCTGTCAGCTTTGAGACGGCACATGAAATTTCTGCGAATTACTGCAAACTTGAAGAGCAAAGAGTTGATGAAATACAGAAGATTTAAATGCTAATTATTATCATTTATAAGCCTTTTTGAGTTATATTACTTATATTATAAATGTAAACTAAGACTTTAACCCATAATTATTCTGTCAACGTACAAATAACCCAATTCCATATTCCACTCTTAGGAAATGAACAGGAAAATCTTGATTAAAGGCCACCATTCATTGTGGGGACATTGAGATATCAGCTGAATGTCAAATGGCTGCCTCAATTGCCAGTGCTGCCAACTTAATTTATGTCGCATTTAAAATGCAAAAATACGCAGCAGCAGCAGCAGCAGCAGTTTCCAACCGATAAGACAAAGGAGCAAAAAGGATCCCAAAGGAGTTCGGTGGAGACGCAGCTGTCAAGCTGCTTTAATTTAACAACTTGACAAATTGAATATTTTGTTCTTTCCAAGGGGGGCAAATAGAGAAAATGCAGCAGCTAAACAAAGGACTAAAATGTATACGCTGAAAGATTTTTAACATTCTTTTTTTTTGAGCTAGAATCGCATTTTAAACTTTGAATGTAGTATTTATCTAAAAGTCGAGCTATTTTCAAAAAGACCTGGTTTTTGAAAATCGGAAAAGTTTAGACAAAGTTATGGCTCTGGAAAGTTTTGATCGATCCTTAAAAGAACCTTTAGAAAATATAATTTTAATCGTGTTTCCAACTGTGAATGTAGTATTATTCTGGGTATCAAACAATGATTAAAAAACCTTGATTTTTGTATATTGAGATAGGAAAGTTTTGACCCGTTCGAATAACCTTTTTGGGTTATATTTTTTAAGGTGACTTTTGAGCCGCAATCGCGTTAACAACTTTAAATGTAATTATATATTTAATATATATATATCTATATAATATATATTCCAAAGATATAAAACTCTTTAAAGTCGAAGAAAGTTATTTTTCTTGAGTGTATAATCTGCTCGCTGGACAAAGGACCTTTTGCCAGAGCCTCGTAGATTAGCCTAGCAACAATGAGCGATAATTGTTCAAGGCACAAACCAATTAACATTGCCTAAGGTCCAAATGAAGCATTTGGATATTTTGATTACTTCCGATTTTGGTGTCGGAACTGTCGGATTGGAGGGGGGAGGTGGCACATCCACTGGCCAGCGGCAAGGTAAACAAAATTAAACGCACGCCTCCTATTAGAAATGCAGCGCACGCCCCAAGACGCACATAAAGAGCCGAGACTTTGGGGCCAAAGCAAAATTACAACAAATAAAACATACGTAAATGAAAATGAAAAAAAAAAACAACGAAAAAACAACAAAAAAACAACAAAAACACATACAAAACGTGCCACGGTCAAATGTTCTGTTTGGATTTCTGACGTCCGAAAACTTTGCTATAAAAGCGACAACTATTCGGACTTATAAATCATATCAGTTTGTTATCTGCAAGCAACAACCATCCAAAACCTACCAAGATGTTCAAGTTTGTAAGTAGCTAACAAAAAAAAACAAATAAACACAAAAACATAAAGTGATATTGGCAATAGAAGCTGCTTAGTGTGAATAACTAGACTCGATTTGGCTAAAAAGAATTTGTTTTTTAGTTCAATTCGATTGCAAATGAGTCAAATGAATTCAAAGTGATCTCGTCATTTAGAAGTGGAATTGACAAACAATCTTCACAAGTTAAAAAAAAAAACAATTATTTTAAGTTGAGTTGAATTAAACGACTTGTGAAACTTTCCAAATTGATAGAACATGTTTCTAAATCCAATTAAGATAATCACAAGTTGCTAGTTCTTTAGATTAACTGATTCGAAGTGGAAGCAACTTTATTCTCGGCAACAATCAGAAGACCTTAAAAATATTTAGTCCCTTCGAAATAAGGACTCTCTCTCATAAATATAATATGTAACTCCAACGCATTAGCTGCTGATCTTTTGGCTTCGTAAACGTTTCACTGGCTGCTGCATGAATAACTCTATCTCTCTCTTCGCCTCTCTTTCTTTCAACAGTTCGCTCTGTGCCTGTTCGCCGTTGTTGCTCTGGCTGCCGCCAAGCCTCAGTTCCTGACCACCTACAGTGCTGCCACGCCCTATGTGGCTGCCAGCCCCTACGCAGCGGCCTACACCAGCGGCGTGTATGCCTCACCCTATTCGGCTGCCTACACCAGCGGCGTTTATGCCTCGCCCTACGCCTACAGCGCCTATCCTTATAGCTCCGTCTACCTGAGACGTTAAGGATGAACTTTTGTACGCGCACCCATTCAAGATGGAGCAACTACTGCAACCTTGCTGACGACCAACGATGAACAAAAATAAAACGACAAGGAAAACCAAAAAACCAAAAACAAAAAAACCTTTTTGATTCGTCTTTTGCTTGGAGCTTTTAATGGTTACACAAAATGTCGCAGCAGCTGCAACATTTTGAAATATTTACGCATTTGGCAGTTGCTGTTTTTGATGTGCATATTTAGTGCAAATTGCAATGGCTGCCATCAAATGCATTCACTGCCCCACTGCCTCATATATCATCACAAACGGGGGGGGGGGCTTGTCTGCTGTCGTCTGCATGCGTTGGTTTCTAAAATGTGCAAATTATGGCAACTAAGTTGCTTGATGTTGCCCCAAACACGCATACAACACGCACAAGGCGAAGGCGAATACACACACACAACACACACACACACACACACACACACATGAGCAAACAGTCACAAACAGAGACTTACCCACACACGCACTTCCTCTCTCTCCCTCTCTTTCTCTTGCTCTCTCTTTCATTGGCATTTGTAATTTGCATATTTTGTGTAGCATGCTTTCAGGCGCATTGTGCACAGTGGTCTCAAAACAAACAACAAATTTGAATAATTCGCTATATCGATAGCAGCTTACCAGCTGCATATCATTTGCCCGACTAAAAAACTAGATCGTAATCGAGTTGGATAAAAGAGATAAAATTAAATCGAGTTGAGGATTTCATTGGCAAAATGGTTTGCCACTTTTGTGGTTTGTGCAAAATCAAATCAGTTCGATTTATCAGCAGAGCAAAATTCTTTCAAAATGCACAAAACTTTTCAATCAAAAGTTAGCGAAAGAAATTAACAACAAATTGGAATGCGACAGTCGAGTAAAAACACCCCAGAAAGCTTCCAATTTGAAAATACGTTTTGGTTAATGAAATTTGTGTTGCTTATTTGATCTGAATGAAAGTTGTACACTTGATTAAAAACATATTGGATATAGTATATGTCAACTGGAAGGCGATATCTTTGCAATTGTCTAGCTATTATCAGATATCGATTTATATCGATATTCACGAAACAGCTGCAATTGTCGTTAAAATTAAATAAATAATTAAGAGCAGCTGTTGTAGTCTCTGAGATTGGCTTGTTCACAGATATGGACGTGTGCTAATGCTGATCACGAATATATATATACTATATACCATATTTTTATGTGTTTGTGGTAAAAAAAAACAACGTATTTAATTGTTAAGTTGGTCGATTAAGGCTTTCTATGCACAGTTGTGCATTTAAAATTTAAATTAATTAAATTAAATAAATAAAATAAACTAAATTAAATTAATTAAAATTATTTATTTTTATCCTTGTATACTATTACTCAAATTGCAAAGGAAGCAATCAAAGCTCAATAAAAATTGTCAAACAAGAAGGAACTTTACTAATGCAGATGGCCAATTATTTAAATAAAGATAAATACATTACGTATATGGTTGTGTATATGGTATAAGTCTGGGGTTAATCATTTAGGACTACATTTATTTCCTCAACTTCCGCAATCAACACAGCATTTTGAAGTTATGAGTTGTAAATAAAGGAAACAAGGAAGGAATGCTCCTTTTTGGTCGTTGAGGCTTTGCTATTACCAGTTACGAATGTGATTTGTTGACGAATACTTTCAGTTAATCTAGTTACCAAATAGTTTTCACCAGTTGTTTTCGCCCAGAAGCTTTTAAAAAACTCTTACTTTAAGTGATATGCCAAGTTTGGAACAACAAAACTTTTCACACAAGATAAACTTTTCTTAAAGTTTTACTTCCCATTTTTTGGGTGTGAGTTTAACCACGGTGGCTTTTAGTTGGCATCTCTTATGATAATTCCGCATCCTCAAACGCGACATTTTGTGGCAACTGGAATTGAAAAGGTCGGACCGGGAAACAGAGTGCAACATTTCTCCCAGGTGTGTGGCGCTCAAGCAAAAGTTCGCACCCACAATGAATTTAAGACTGAAGCAAAACTAAATCTAATTTGTAATAAGCTCGGCCCCCCGGCCCCCCAAAAAAACAAAAAAATAAATAAAAAGAAATGGAAGCGAAATGAAAAGCCTACGCGTCAGCAATTGGTTAAGGCTGTGCCGCCCACGCACAGTGTGACGAGAACTGTAGAAATGCGTGGGTGGCAAAATGATATGCCCAAAGGACATTGCATACCTTGAGACATAGCATAACACAACTCATGCGCCTAGTTGTCACAATGTCACAAAAAATATTCCCTTAACAAACCGGAGCCGTTTCTAGGAGGCTGAGGAGTTAACGGTTCATTATCATCCTCGGGGAATGTCGTCCATCAATGTCAGACTTACCTGCAAGAGAAAAGAGAAAGAGAAAAGAGAATGATTGAGGAACGTGAGAGATTGAGCAGAGAAAGGCAAGTTAAATAAAGTTAAGTGTTCGAAAGATGCGTGTAAATATGAAATATGGTTGCAAGGTCTTAAATTGGTTCACATCTGCACACTGAATACTCTATAAAGCAGCAAGTATCTTTGATGAGAATTTTGACAGCTACAACAAAGATTCTATATTTAAAATATAGTCTTTATAATCTTTTTGATACATGTATTAAGATAATGACTTTCAGCAGCTTTCAATCTGTATTTTTATAGCAAAGAAATTCTGAGTTTAATATTTTTAAGTAACTAATATTATAATAGTAGTTAATAGTAATATTATATGAGATATCCTTATGCACATCATCAACAAAAATATACTTAACTCTCTTAACTAGTGTAAAATACTTCTGTGATTTGATCTCTAAATCTTCAGCATTCTGCTCGCAGAAAATTGTTGAGAATTTATTAAAAAATACAGCAAAGCTCAAAAAGACTCTTTATTAAGTATAATCTCTAGAAGATGTTTGTAGATAATTAATTAATTTCCTTAACTCAAAGACAAAATCAGCTAACCGAATATTAAATCACGCGTCTTTTTGCATGGAAAGGGTATGCACATAAATATAATGTTGATTTCAGTTTGTCTTTTAATCCGCCTGACAGCCCTATACCAATATGTTAAATATATACAATATATATATATACATATATATATACAATGTGTGTTCCTTGGCATTGTTTGGCAATCAAGCTAAGTAAATGTCGTATATCGCATATCAAGTGTAATAAAGCCAGTTTGAATCAAATCAAAGTTGATGTCTGATTGTTTAAACAAGGTGGAAATACCTATAAGGATTCAGGAGGAATGAAATCAAATTCTTATATTTTCAATATCAATATGCATTCGTGTGTAAAGGATTTAAGCCTATAATCATCTAGGGAATATCATATATCATTCAACGATATGGAATACAAAACTTTGGCTTACAGACTCCAGTTGTGAAAGGTGCATTTCAAAGCTTAAGCCGCCTGGGAATTCTAAATATACGTCACAGAAAGCTAGATTGAGCTAGATGTCATCTAGGATTAGTTAACACTCTGTTGGCTTTTTCAAATGGGTATAATCCGTAGCATGTCAATCAAATTTAAATGTAATAAAAAGAAAAACAGATTTTAGCCCTCTCTGTATTTGTAGTCCTCCATCTGTGTCTGTCTACCACTTTCTCTCTAACTAACTCTGCCAAATGTAACATGTTTTTCTTCTCTGGTAATTATTCATTTCAAGACATTTAATTTTAGCAATACTCTTTCAAGTGTCATCCTTGAAATGCTTTGGTTAATTGACACAAGTATTTCCATATAAATAGTTGCAAATGTTTTGCCCAAGTAGCGTTTATTTATAACTGATTGAACCCTTCACAGCATACACTTAATTAATTCGTTATTCATTAGAGTGAAATGAGCTGAATTCCGCAAAATCTTATGGCAATTTTCGCATCATTTTAATTAATTTAAGGACGTGCTTGAACAAACAGTTTGAACAGCGTTTAAAAATAATGCCTCACTTTTGGCTGAGGCTGAGAGCATGCATAAATCAGTTTGTTTTTCAAATAATTACAATTATCAAATTTCGCTTGATTAATTTGTGCTAAACGCTGAACCGCCACGTCCACCTACCACCACTTAAAATCTAATTAATTGCCCCACACAGCCCGATGTTCAAGGATGCTCAAGAGCAAGAAAAGGGCTGCGTTGTGTCAACAAGGCGACAACAAGTTGGGGAAAAGGGCGAACAGTCTCAACTTAAGGGGCTGGCCAATCTCGATGCTGGGCCCTAAACCAATACTCAGCTGATTAAAGCGAACCCAACCAGTAGCAACAGGTTGACTTTCTAGATCGGGCACAGAGCACTCTTCAAATGCGGTCTTCAATTACATAAAGTCGAGACTCCGAACACGTTTTTAAGCAGCGTTCGCACAGCAGGGCACTTCTGGCCCCATTTGTTGTCCGGCATTTGCTGCTCATTTATTTAAAGCTCATAATTGTTACAGGTTGGATGGCAAAGTGGGTGGAGCGGGATGTATACTGGCGCCTATTCATTAAAAATTCATTGCTTAATTCAGCGACGAGTTGCACAAAAACGGGGCAAAACAATGCAAATGTAAATGTGTGTGTGTGTGTGTGTTTGTGAGGTGGAAGGTGAAAGGTGTGTGTAAAGGAAGGATGTGCGTTGAAATGAAAATGGCGTCCGACCTCTGTTAAAAATGCAGAGCAACAATTTCCGTTTCCGCTCGCCCGACGACCGTTTCAGCCTCAATTGTTGCTGTTGTTGCCGCCGTTTGCGCAACATTGTGATAAATTGTTTGGCCTATTAGCGACACACAAATCAAGGTGCCATCCTCGCAGCTCAGCTCTGAGTCCTGACTTTTGCCAACAGCTCAAACTTGATTGCCAATTCGCACACACACACACACACACACACACACAGAGACACACACACTCGTTCAAGTCTGGCATTAAATTGAAATCTCGTCGGATAGGGCAGCTTTCACACCACTTTTGCTTTCCTTTTATTGTTGACTGCTTTTCACAGCGCTCAACGTGGCGTATAATCGATTTTTATTTATGCCAAACGGGTATTTGTCGAAAAATTGCTCAGCCGACACGTTAGCCACATCACGTTTATAACAAAACTAACTGAAATCAATTGCAAATACCTGTCAGCGAATTAGTTTTCTTTGCTTTTCTTTTCTTTTCTCTTTTATTTTTATTGTTGTTCTATTTAACATGTTGCTGGTCAACGCTCGCAAAGTGGCCGCGAAGGTCGTTAACAAAACATAAGAGCACTTAAATCAATAATAGACTCTAGGAATGTGCAAGCTATATCAAAATGTGAGTAAAATTAAGCCAAAGAAAACGAGCATAGAACAAAGGTCTTAGAAAAGCAAGTAAGAGTGCTCGACTAGGAGATATCCTGCATCACATCTTATTATTGATCTTAATTTATAGTTTATCAATGTCAAGAATATCTATATATATATATATATATATATACATTATGGGCTCTGCCTGTTACATGCTTTTGCTGGGTAACATTATACCCGCTTGCTCATTGTTAATGGGTTCAATGTGTATAAACACAAAACTAAGAAAAGCGCCGACAAAGAAAATGAGTAATAAGCAGTCATGCGAAAAGCCCTAACAATGAATATATTTATAATAATAATGCATTCATTTGGACATATACCGTAAACAAAGAGCGTTATTTATTTAGAGAACAGCTTTTTAAATAATCAGAAAGCTGCGACGTCTTTAAGTTGTTATTCTTAAGCACAAAGAAGCTGAAGGTTTTCCAATTAAAAATAAAAATAAAAAAGTAAAATATTCATCTTCACAATATTTAAAATCAAATATATTTGTGGCTTGAGTATGCTTTTGTTGCCAGTTTGTTAAGTCGTCCAGAAGTTTAATTATTGGCTAAAATGTACAGGAAATATTTTGGGTGAGTTCATTTGCTGAATGACTCTCAATAAAGGCGAGAGAAATAGATGAGTTGTCAGCCACAGGCAATTGACAGCTTCAATTTACAAGCTTGCTTGCATATTAAATCAAATATAAAATCAAACGAATTCCAATTTGAAATCAACCAATTTGAAATCTCCGAACACCATTTATGTGCGTGCTCTTCACATACAAAACCCATTAAAACTTCTCTGCAGATGCAACTTTTCGCTCAACTTAATGGATTTAATTACAGTGAAATTGGTGAATAAATGCGATCTGCAAACTTTCTGTAATAACAACAAAGCCGACCAATGGCATCCATATGACAGCTCAATGGAAAATGCATAATGACAGGCACAGTTTGCCGTCTCCCCTGTGTGTGCCCCGCCTGGCGGCGTGCAACATGGCGTATAAGTAACCACTTTTATTGTCATTTGCCGCGGCACTCAAAAGCGACAAGAGAGAGCATGCAGTACACTTAGAAAAACAAAAATAAGTTGACCCAAAATGATTGCAATATAATGTTGATAGTATTCTAAAATGCTGCTTTCATTTCTAGTTCTAAAATTGACAAACAAGTTGAGTAAGAATTGGTTAGTCGGGAGTGCTCGACAGGGGAATACCAGCTGTTAAATACATATATTAAATCTATAACAGCAGTGGTTTTAACTCTCTTATTTTTCTATAAAAAGACCTGTAGAATTATTTCTACTTTTGATAAGTAAACAAGGTTTATAGATTTGGAATTGTGGATCTGAAAGGCAAGCAATTCTACTATAATACAATTGAAGTCCATTTTAATCTGCTAAAATCCAAAAAAATACTTTTTTTCTGAGTGTAGCGGATCAGAAGGGGTTGGTGAAGTGGAGGTATGTGACTTGGCCTGGTCAACAATGTCGGCCACATGCACACACAGCAAACAAGCTCATCAGCAGTTCAAGTGACTTGGACTTCGAGGCAGAGCGAGACAGAGAGAGAGAGAGAGAGAGAGAGAGAGTGGGGGAGCAGAAAGATGAGAGGGAGTCAGAGTGGCACTCAACGGGAGGATTTTGTGGTGGCTTTGAATGCAATTATGTGCAGCACATGAGTAGCATGCTGATAAAGTAGTTGCAGTTGCAGACATACAGCTAAGGTAAGTAGGCCAGCATCAATAAATAAGCAAGAGTGAGAGAGAGAGAGAGAGAGAGAGGCAGTATCAAAAAATGAATTTGCATATTTGCATTACATAATAATAATAAAAAAAAAACTGATAAGTTAACTGAATGCAATTTGTGATTGAGCATTACATTTTGAAAGAGACTGTATAATCTGACGCTCCCACCACGCCCCCATCGCCCCTTGCAGTCTAAGCTGTCAATGATTGTTGTGCTTTTGGTTGGCTGACTGGATGAGCGCACATAAATGTCCTTAAGGTTCCAAGGACTCGACACTTGAGTTGGCTTCCCCGTGTGCGTGTGCACAAATAAAGATTATCTTTGCCTTGCCACCAATCCCTGCTCCTCCCCTCTCCACCCGTTGCGCATTTTTATGGTAATTCGGCTCGTTGTTGGTGCCAGTGACAGCGGCAGCAGAAGAAAATGCCAAATAAGAAAACCTAGCCGCATAAAGGCAAACATGAATTGCCACTTGAGGTTGTGTGGCATACAACAAGTTTCAGGCATTGGCATTGACATGGCGTAATTCAATGCCAGATCACGGCAAAAGCGAAATTTGCAAGAACCACCCCCATCCTTAACTTAATAAACACATCATTTAAAGAAATCTTTGGCTTCAAGTTGAAGTTTTCATATGCAACTTAGACGCATTTATCCAACATTTAAATCTGCTGCAGACTAAAGGCACTCAAGCGTAAAGCTTTCGAGTACTTAAACAGCCATTTTGCCATTCAAATATTATCGTTTATACTGCGCTTGAACATAAGAAGCTCTACTTTTTAATACAAAATAAACAAATTGATATCCTAAGTTATTACAGTCTCAAATATCAAGGCTCGCCTTGTCGCGAGAGACAATCTATTTGGCGACCCACGCATTCTTCGACTGATATATATTGAAATGAAATATGTTTGGCAGAGCCAAGCATTCGATTATATCTATTTATGCATTATTGAAAACTTTGCCTATTTGCCACCACCCAAACCATTTGTCAGCACATCTATTTCCATTTGCCACCCCACACTCGCAGTGTGGGTATTTTTGCGCTAATGACGTCAACGTTTAGCGCACACAATCCCCCTCCTCCCGCCCCTTCCATAGTCAATAGTCGGAAAACAAAGTAAAACTTATGTGGCAACAAGGAACCAATATTTGGCACAAGTTGCAAAATTAAATTTACATTTCATGCACGTAACCAGGGGGCATTTGCTAAAATTATCACGACACAGGCGCAGGCCAACCCACAAGCCCCTTAATTGTGTTGCCAACAAAGGATGCTGCAGTCCTGTCTCCCCGAGCCTGGCCAACTGCCAACTTGAGCCAATTATGTGTGCTGCCAAACAGCAAGTGAAAGCGTGCGCCAGCAGAAGAAAAAAAAAATGAAGCGAAATCAATACGCTTCAACATTAACTTGAGCCGCTAAGGACACGCCATGGACTCATTAGCCTCCACTCACCAAAAAAGACACTCAAGATGTGACCCAATGATGTGCCACACCATGTGTGTGTGTGTGTGTGTGTGTGCTTTTCCGATTACCAGCATAAATGGCGTTTGCTGTGCGCAAGCTTGTCATAAATGGCGCCATATAGACAGCAATAATAAGCAGCAGGAGCAGCAGCCGCATCAGCAAAGCCACAAACTGATTGCTTACAGAATGAGCTAAGGATACAATCCTTATTGCTAATTGTTTTCACTTTATGCTATTTTTAAGTAGCAAAGAAAACGGTAATTGCATTTTATGAGACACATTTTTGTGGTCTGCATTCTTTTCCCTTTTCCATTTTCCCTTTTGACCTTGGAACTTTATATTCGACTTCGACTTTTAATTTGATGGGCTTAAATATTTCGTTGGCCTTATGCAAATGTGGCAACTGTTTTTTTTTATTTTTTTTCAACTTTTTTCTACCCATTTTTGTATGCTAATCTGCAAGGGATCTAAGATTGTGAAAGTTTATAATTGTGTGTTCTGCATATTAACAAAGATTCAAGGTATTTATGTATTAACAAAAATTAGATGAATACATTAAGTAATATCTCTAAAAGTGTTATCGATTGTACATTTATCGATAGTCACTTTTTATATGAAAATTGAAAGTTTTATCTAATCCCAGTAGGCTTTTGATATAAACTGAATAAAATATGCAAACTCGAATTATGTACAAATATCTCAGTCTTCTGGCTGAGCTCGAGATGTGTGCACGTCTAATAATTCGTAGAAAATTAATTTTAAATTAATATCTATTTTTGCTGCAAATATAATTTTCTTTTTCTGAGAACGTTTCCATAAGCTCAAGCTATATTTATATATAATATATAAGTCTCAGAACTGACTATCAGAGTTCAAGTAAGTTTACGAAAGTATAATTCCAAATTTGTCCGATAAAAAAAAACAGCTTTTTATTCTATAGATTTTTGAAGATCATGTATGAGCCCAACTGCCCAAGTGACAGTGAGGAAATCGAAATTGAGGAAATCGAAATTGTGGACAGCAATTATGAGTTGATGTCGAACAAGGATGTAAAGATCACGATTGGTCAGTGGGTCTTCGAGTGTCACAGTCGTTTTCTGAGCACGTTTTGTGAGCTCTTCAAAGATTCGATACGACGAGGAATTACCGTCTTCAATCTGCCCAAGGAGAGTATAAGTGCCGATGTCTTCGACGTTGCCTACACGTGGATGAGCAGCAACGTTTGCTACTGTCCCCGGAGTAAGTTTTTGGATCTATTCTTGGCCGCCCAATACTTGCAAGCACCGCAACTGCGTTTCAACGTTTTGGCAGCACTCGGCGAAGAGCGCTACTTCTCCCATTTGGGTGCACTGAGCTGTTATGCGGAGGCAACCAAAAGGAATATTAATGATGTCGCCAACCAGATGCTGATAAACGTTGGCAAATATTTTCTCTCGCTGGTCGGCACGGAAGAGTATCTCGATCTGGGCTTGGAGGAACTCTGCAATTTGCTCAAATGTGATTTTTTGGCCGTCCACTCGGAGGTGGAGGTATTCTATGCCGCTATCTTGTGGATTCTATGGAACTATGAGCAGCGCAAGATTCATATGCGTCGTGTGCTGAAATCGTTGCGTTTGGAGCAGATGCCGCCGCTGGTTCTGCTCAATTTTGGCGAACGACTGCACGAGATGATGCCGGAGACATCGGATCTGATGTTCTATCTACTGCATCTGGCAGTTGTCATCGGTCAGAAGCGCTCCAACAATTCGCCAATGTCTCAGGACCCATTGAGCAGTCGCGCTTACATCCGAGATCCGGAATGCCCCTATTTACATCTGTTAGATGAGCGGGTTACAGAGATCAGTGTGGAAATGTTTACGGACTATATCAATACACTGCCAAGCATATTCGAGCAGTTTCTAATGCGTTTAACATTTCTCGCAGATATGAACGTGGCAGAGGAATAGAAAACTACAGCAAAAATCCCGCAGATAGCAACTATTAACATAAAAATATTATAAGAATTTAATACTTAATTATGTCAGCCGTGAAGGGATGTAAACTTTAACTAGCTATTAAACATGTGTGTAAAATAGACGCACTCAAATGACGGTTATCCAAACTAGGGTGGAGAGCTGAGGGACTAGTTTGCAAAGTCATCAAAAGATGTGACTCTATAAGGACCAGTAATTATGACCAGAAATATATATAATTTATGAGGTTGGAGACGTCGACGACAGAATTGTTATATTAAAAAGGAAAAATGCCAAAAGACTAGATGAATATTGAATTCAATTCACTTTATTTTACACCACTTTGATACTCCGCTTAAGTTTGCACGAATTTTTTTGGGGCATATAAAAAAGTGTTTACACATGCCACATTTGCAACTTCCACAACGTGTGCAACAACCTCATTAAAAGGAAGATAGTGCAAATGTTGCAAATCGAAGGGAGCATTTCAAAAGATATGAGATACTTTACGACCTGTCTCTCGATATCGTAGAACACAGCAGGGAGTGGCAAGGTGGGGTAGGTGGGTGGCAAGTGTGTCAGCTTTGGTGTCGGAGGTTGTGTTCTGCGTGAAACTGTAATTTAATTAAGAGCCCCAACAAATGGCGACACACACATAAAAAGAAATGGCAAAAAAAAAAAAACAAAAAATCAGATTCACTAGACGGCGCCAAGGGAGGAAACGCGAATGGGACAAGCGACAAGCGACAAAGGACAAAGGACAAAGGACACTCACTGCTGGTGCTGTTGCTGTTGCATTTGCCTGGCTACGCTTAATGAGTTGTTTGGCGTCAGCGGGGGCGAGAGGTTGGAGAGAGACAGCCAGACAGACAGACAGACCCACTCTGCGCAAATGAGACTCAAATGCATTTTAATGTTGAACTTCATTTGTGCCTTTAGTGTGAAAACGCTGCAAAAGTGTAATTGGCCAACTCGAGTAGTTGGCAAATTTGCCGAGCACCCATTTGGACGGGTTATGTTTAAGGCGGCATTCATAATGGTTATGAATAAAACGGACGCTTAATCCTCTAAGCTAACTGCATGAAACTAAATGATTATGCAAATTTCTAGGAACAATACAAAAATATGGAAAACTTATTTGTTCAACTTTACAATTAGTTGGAACAACTACTAACTGCTTAGCAGAAAGCATTCATTTCTATTAAAATTAAGCAAAAGCACTCGAAAGCGAATACCAAGCGAAGTCTTTAATTATATATAGAAGAATAATTATTTTTATTGTGACTATTTCAAGGAGACGCAGTTAAAAAATATGCATAAAATGGAATTTTTGTGAGAAGAATTGAAATGAAAATGTTGTGCATTGATGTATAAAAGGACTTTTAAAAGGACTTGTGAATTGTATGTTTATTAGAAGAATTGTGTAGAGTAGAATCTCATCTTATTTGGCATTCATCGTAGATAGACTCTTCAGAAGAACATTTAAAACAGTTTAAGGATATCACACAAAAAGATTAAGAATCCATCCAAGAATGGATCTGCAAGATGCTCATTTTTCCTACTTGAACCCTAAGTGTTCCCAAGAAAATTGTAATTATATATATATATATATTATATAAGGTATTTTTCATATATCTAGCTACAATTCACAAGGATTGCTCCGGCAACAAACTAACTGCGGAACTGCTGAAGAACTCGCTGTATTTGCAATGCCTTTCTGCATGACCTTAATCCTTAATTGGCGTGTCATATCGTGGCTGTTGTGCACACTCACCTCGATACATGGGAAACTCGCCATCGCTGTGACTGTGACACAGCATAATGGGCGAACGGCAACGGGAGGCGGCAACCAGGATGCCTGTCTTGTGTTGCCCCGCGACGGTCAGTTGAGTTGGCGCCACCTGATGGCTGCTGGCTGCGGCAGCGCTCGATGTTGCCACATTCACTGGCAGCGTTTTAACCGCCTTCGTTTGGGATGCAACTACCGATTTGGCTGGCGTCATGGTGGCACAGACGGAATAGGAGCGTGCCACATGGCTCAAGGTGCGACGTCGAATGGTGGCCGCTGCCATTGTTGTTGTCGTTGCTGTTGTGGCACGATAATGATGCTGCGGCGTTGAATATTGACAATGATGGGCGGCGGTGGCTGTGCTTGGTGGCGTGACCTGCTGCTGATAGGCAGGTGCGCCGCCTAACGACAAATGATGTTGCAACGGCGGATGGGGACGCAAGGAATGGGAATGTGCTGGCGCATATTGAGGATGCGTTGGGGCAGGTTGTTGTTGCTGCTGCTGCTGCTGCTGCAACGTCTGTAGGAAGGGGGGATGCGAGTGCTGATGCTGCAGCAGCTGCTGGCGTTGCTGCTGCTGCTGCTGCACGGCGGCCATTTGGAATTGCTGCTGCAGCTGCTGCAGTAGATCATGCTGCAGTTGCTCATTGCTCTTGTCATTCGACTGGGATTGCGATTGGGACTGGGACTGGGACTGGGATTGGGATTGGGTCTGCTTTTGCTTCTCCCAGGGTCCGTTGCTGTCGCCGCTGTAATCCAGCTTGAATGCTGTATGCCCCCTATGCGTATCCTTTGATCCACTAATTAAGGTGCCGCGCGACGCGATGCCAAAAAATGGGGCAACATTTAAAATGCTAACGGAAACAGCTGATGCACAATTCACACTTATTTATGGATCATGTGTGGTTGTGTGTGTGCGTATGTAAATAGTTGTATGTCGGTCACACAACAGGACCTACTTGCAAACTTTCAACATGAGCATACGCGAGCATCTGTGAGACACACACACACACACACACACAAACACATACTCTCTCTCTATCAAGGAGACACAGGACGCGCTTAACTGTCGAACGTAGAACCGAGAATTCGACCAGAACCGTTGGGTTTAAGTACAACGACTGATTGTGCGAAGCTTTGTTATCCTATGAAAAAGCTAACGCTTCTGTCAAAAGCACACCAAGCTGAGACAGAGACAGAGACAGAGATAAAAAGAGAGCGTGAAGCTGCGAGAGAGAGAGTGCCTGCGAGAGCGGAAGCATTGGAAAAAGCACTAGAACTGGACCAGTTCTAGGAGCAAGGGTAGCTGCGCCCCTAAGGACTGTGTGTGTGTGTGTGTGTGTGTGTGTGTCTCTGGACTGGGTAAAGGCTACACTTTGGGCTCCTGAAAGTTCGTTTGCATGCAGCGAGCGTATGTTTTGCCAACTCTTCCACTTTGTTTACAAGACGAAAAGTGAAACAGCCGACAAAACGGCAGAAAGCGAGACGTTGCCACAGTGGGGCAAAAATACTCGGAACCAAATTAAACTGGCAAAAATACTCGGAACCTAATTAAACTGGCAAAAATACTCGGAACCTAATTAAACTGGCAAAAATACTGAGCAGCCAATTAAACACTTATCATGCACAAACGGGCAAAGACTGAAACCATTCAACCAAGTTGTATACAATTGAAAGCAGTGTTTGTTGTCTAAATTAATTTAAATAATTTAATTCAAAATATATATATATTTTTTAAGCATTGCTTATAGTAAATAAATGCCATAAGTTCAGCAAAAACTTAGCCCATTTCCAAGTTGTATACAAGTGTTATCATCAATCAATTTCAGTTTTTTAATTTATTATAAAAATCTGGTTATTAATAGTGCACACTTATCACGAATGCAATTCATAAACTTGAAGCTGTCTGTTAAAGTTAGGGAAACTGAACCGATTTCCAGCAATGGAAACCGCATTTAAAATTGTTTCGCATGATTTGCATAGTTTTTAGTGATTGGTGGTTGCATTCGACCCAGTGAGTGAGGCATTGAGGCATTGAGGCACAAAACACAACATTCTGGTTTGGCGTTGGGTTCATTCACCCAAACTGAGGCGCACACACCAAGTGGTGCCCAGTCAAACAGCTGCTCCTGGGGCCAGGACCGAAAAACAGATTTCAAGAGCAGCTGCAAAGCTCTCCAAAAAGCTTCTGAGCGCGATGCACAGCCAAATACTACTTGAAAAAGAAAACAAAAACAAAAAACTCCCAACTGTCGTGGGGATGCGAGGACAAAAGAGTAGCACACCAAACGAAATCCTGTTCAGGACGTGTTTTTTTTACGTATGCATATACGAAATACACGAAGTTGTCGTCGTAATTTATTTATGTATTTGTCAGTGGGTCTTTTGATAAAGTTGTTGCAAGACAATTTCAATGGTACCCACAGGACGTACCCAGCACGGGCACGAGCACGGGCACGGGCGAACCAAAAACAGGGTACATCAAGTACCGCCCCCCCACCTTGATAAGGTTGCCAAGAAAGTCGATATCATAATACAAACACGGAACAGGCGCTCAACAATGCACAGCAAGCAGCAGCAGCAGCAGCAGCAGCAGCCAGCAGCAGCAGCAGCAGCAGTCACAGTTACAGCACAAATTGGGATGTTAGCCATATCAGGATGGGTGCTATTGCTGCTAGGTGCGGGGTAGCTCTGCCTCCTGCCTGCTGCCGATGGGAGGCTGATGTTTACTGCGTGGGTTGTTTGCTTTGCATGCGCATAAAAAAGAACAACAAACGAGAGAGAGAGAGACAGAGAGAGAGGGAGAGAGAGAGAGAGAGAGAGAATTGTGCTCGACTAGCAAATATTCTGCGACAAGCATCGATTTACTTTAGTATTGTGTTTGCCTGACGATAATTTAAGTCTTTGCTTTGCTCCTTTAACTATCGATATTTATCGATTTCTTTCAAAAACCTGAAAAGCTGTCCAAAAAGTGAAAGTATCTTCATTTACTGAGCTTCCAGCTTTGTTAACATTAATATTTGAGTAAGACATATTAAATTTAAGGATATATAGAATATATATACAGCTTTAAAGGTCGCATAAAATTTGAGCAAACCAAGCAAACCCCTTTTAGGCATTTCGAATAAGTACAGGGTATACAGCAAACTGCAGAGTGATGGCAAAAACTGTTGTTTGTGTGGCATGTGTCACTTGTTACAAATTCTGCAGTGCTGTGGTTGAGAGTCGATTGCTTTAGGGGCGTTCCAAAGAGTTTTGACGGTTGCACTTACCGTATGCATCACGATCTTGGAGGTAGCTGCTGGCACTGCTCTTAATGCTGATGCAGTCCAATGGCGTTGGCTCGAATATGTTGAACGATTCACAGGAAATGGCACCGGGCGTTGTGGGCACGTCCACTGAGAAGGGAAAGGTTAACCAAAAAAAAATAAAAAAATAAGAAAGAAATAATAAATGCCAAAGTTGTGAAATCGCCCAAGAAACTGTTCCAGAAATAAGACAAATCATGACAAATTTTAACTTCCACACAGCACTAGCTTCTATATATATATTTAGTTTCTAGTTAGAATCTATTTTCTTATACAATTCACAAGCAATATTTATATTTCTAACTATGATTAAGATTCGTGTTCACAATGCTCCTTAAACTGTTTGATGTGGTCGCAGAGCTGCCAATTGACATTTGCCACAATATTCAGTTGATTTTTACTCAAATGTTGAAAGATTTGAGAATACACCTCCGTTGGCAGTCCCATCAGCGATGGATGCAAATGGAGATTGATGGCGAGCAGCTGCTGGGCACGCATCGGTTGAAAGAGCTGCTGACGCAGCTGCAGGGAGAGCTCATCCAGCTGGCGAAAGCGTTCATAAATCGTCGCCAGCTTCATGTTGAGCACAAAACGTCCAATCGATAGGCAGACGCTGTAACCCCGCTCCTTTGACGGCGGCACGGGACTAAGTGTGACCATTAGTAGATCCCCCAGTACAACGGCCATGAGGCGAGACTTTAATATGAACAGTTCAGATGCCTCCGTTGCGCTCTTCTCGTCCTGCATGGTGTGCAGAAGCATGCGAAACGCAGAATCCTCGAATTCCCGGCTGAAGTGCAACGGCAGCTGGCTAAGCAGACGCACATTGTAGATGTGAAAGCAACCCACTGCCGGCACTGGTTTCAATAGATGACCATGCTCCGCATACGTTTGATCCTCCACAAATCCCGACTCCAATGCCACCACATAGATGAGTGTCATCAGAAGCTCGGCATCGCTAATCTTGCCCTTTAGCTGGCTCAATATCTGTCGCAGATGCAGTGGCACTGACTCCGCCGTGGCATATTCTAGGCACAGTGGCTCCTCCACTTCCATCGCTTGAGCTGTCGCTGTAATGAGGCAAGGTTTGGCAATGAGAACAACATGTGGTGGTTGTTGTTGTGGATGGTGATGTTGTTGTTGTTGTTTGTTGCTGTTGCATCGGTGTTGTGTGTGTGGTTTTATTTTAGTTAGAAGGATGCTGATGTTGAGTCTATGAGAATCACAGAGATTAGTTAAAGAGTTTTGCGAAACATAAATATAACATGTAAATTAAAAACAAAAAAACTAACCTGTGTGCGTTTGTGTCATGCGGAATACCAAATGTGTGTCTACGTGCATTTAACTAATTGCTTTTTATTTTTATGGATGGATTATTTATACACTACAAATTAACACAAAACTTGAAAATGACTAAAAAATTACTGAAGATCGCTGGGAACACGAACACGAGCGAAACAACACGACGTCATCGTGTTCGCGATAAAATAAACGAATAAAACAAAACACGACCCAAAACGAGTACAGTGATTCCTCGTAAATCAATTTCAAAAATTAAAATCGAACTTTATTTTATTGAATGCGAAAATATAACGAACGATCACTGTATTAAAATAAAGCAACATACAGCAGGAAAAAAAACAACAAATAAAAACACAATTACAAAATACAATAACCAAAGTTAATTACATATTTATCAGAAATCATAAAACATCAACAATTCGAATGTACAAGAATCGTGCAGGCTCGTGTCGGTGCTGCGATGTTTCGTGCCGACACGCGCCCACCTCTAATCGCCAAGTTAGTCACCCAACAATAAACATAAACTAAATCGATCATATGCAACAAATGAATGATTCAAATCTCACATAATCGATATGTACATACAATATTATAACGAACTTATTATAAACACATACATGTGCATGTATTTTAATGCCCATATCAGTAGTTTTACTAACCTGCCGTGTCCAACTCAGCGGCGGCTGCAGCAGCAGCAGCAGAACCGACTGTGGGCAGGGGTGGACAAGGGGCGGTCGCCTCCGCACTGTCGGCGCCGGGGTCTGTGTTTCTTTTTGTGGAATCAGACATGATTTGCGTTATGTATGTTCTAATTTCTTGTTGTGCATTACGTTAAATTTAAACACATGCCTTCACAAGGTAAAGTGAAACATTAAACATTTGATTAGGACTTGAACGCTTTCTGCGTTTCCACACACATTAACACCGTGCACTTCAGTTGCTCTTCAGCTGCGCGTAATTAAATTCAGCGATTAATTTACGTATTTACTTATTAGCGACTGATAGTTTGTCATGTTAAAGGCTTTTGTTTAAAAGTTGCAACGCAATACACAGAAAAAAACAAATGCTTGCAAAAACCACCTGTTTTAGTCAATCCGTTATCGATACTATCGATAGTATTGCATGAGTATCGTTACTGCAAAGTAATTGCAATGAGAAGCAAATGTTTAATGCAATTTGCGGCTTAACGAAAAGAAACACAAATTATCTGTCAAAATTCGGATTATATTTATATAAATATATATATTTCAGCCATACAAACAGCTTTAAGTATCGTATCAGCGTACTGTCCTATGAAAATTGTTGCACATTAGTATTTCGCTCATCTCTAATTGCCGGCATCAATTAACTTCGGTTGCAGCAATGACTTCCATCGATGAAAATGAGATTTATATGGTAAAGCAGGCGGAAAGCGTGCGCAAAAGCGATCCCAGTTCGGCCAAGGCATGGATCCTCACCGCCAAGACGCTCTATCCAAATGCCTTCAACGTGCAATACGAGGCCTACCTGCTGGAGCGCGATGCCAAGAACTACGAGGAGGCAGCCAAATGTTTCAGTGTCATGTAAGTGGCGTCTCAAAGGAAAACGAAAAAAAACTTAATGTAATATCCTGTCCATAACAGCGCCAGCAACTTTACCAATCAACACGCGGAGCTTTGGCAGGAGGTGAATGCTCTGACAAATGCGCTGCGCAATGAGACCGAAAGCACGCCGGAGCAGGAGTTCTATGTGAAGATGTACAAGCATTTGACGCCTGAGGTGCAGCACAGCATATTTGTGCACACGATCAACAACAGCGGCGATAATCTGCAGCAATGCATTCACAGCTACATCCTCATGTTCAACAAGTTCCCCAAAACAGCGGCAACGCAAGCACCCCGTTTGCTGGAAATGCTGGCGGAAGGCATGAAAGCGGATCCAGATCTATATCAGCGCATGCTGGTCGAGGAGGTGCTGCCCATGATACAGAATAAGCCGCCAGAGCTATCGCCGCTGCTGGCATGTCGATTATACACAAACTCCCTGGAATATTATCTGCGCCAGATCATGGACGATGATAAGTGCGATACAACCGAGGCGTGGAAGAACATATTCAAGGTGTTGATGCTCTGTGGCCAGATGATGGGATGGGAGCCCTTTCTGCCCTTCAGCAAGTACGTCAATCAGAACGTCTACTGGGATAAGTTGGTCAAGATTCTGCGTGGGAGTCCAGCTGGCAGCTCCCAGGTGCTATTCTATGCTACAACACTGTTTATCTACTCCCTGCACGGCTATATACGCAAACTGCGCATCGAGGATGCCGATGTCAGTCATGTGCTGGTTGAGGGCTTCATCGACTGGTCGCCGGAGGGTGGCGAGGTGCAGAGCATGGATTGGACATCGGATGGCGGCGAAGTGCAAAGCATGGAACCGCCTAAGTTCTCTGCAACGACGGCCATTAGTCAGGAGCTATCCGAGGCATTTCTCCATGCCGCTCGCTGCTGGCAGCTGCTCAATACGGAACAGTTCCAGCGTGATTTTAGTCAACTGATGCTGGCACTGCCGCTGGCTCCTTGGATCTCCCGCTTCCTCTTCGATCTGGCCATTTACTTTGGACACCGCGACGAGGCCAACAAACTGATGGCAGACATGACAGCTCAGAGCACCCTGGTGCAGAGCCTGCAAATCCTTAGCCTCAATCTAATGCAGGGTAGCATGACGGTAAGTGAATCATCTCCAAGAGATTTGAACATTATTTCATTCAATCTATTTTTCTTACAGCTTCAGGGCTTTCAGTGCATTCTGAAGATACTCGCTGAGCTGCCGGCCACCAGTGGTCAGTTGCTGGATAACATTAGCCTGAAGAGTCATCGGCACATGATCTTCTTGCCACTGACCAAAATTGCCCTCATCCAGTATTGCACACGTGCCATCACCAGTCGCCTCAGCCGAATGCTCTTCGAACCGAATTGCTCGGATCGCCTGTTGGGCGATCTGCTTGCCCTGCTGCAATTGAACTCCGACAAGGATATGCTGCTCAAGCAGCACATCTTCAACTTGATCACACAACGCAAATCTTTCAATTTGCACATTTTATCCAACTACATTATTGCCACGGATATCATTGAGGAGCTGGCCTTTATCTGGAACTCTCAGCAGCAGGATGATGCCAATTTTGAGCTGACTGGCTCGCCAACCAATGGCGGTGGCGTCGGTGGTGCTAGCGGCACTAATGGTACCGCTGGCACAACCCAACCACGTCGCATTGGCACCCGGGGCGCCGACAAAGGGGCACGCGACGAGTTCAAATCGCTGATTCGTCAGCAAATTGCGCGCTGCAATGAAAATGTGCCCACGCTGGTCGCCAATTTCATCAGCCAGGAGCATCTGACGCTGGCGCAGCACATCTTTGGCATTGCGCCGCCAGTGGAAACAATTGTCATCAAGTGATCGATGGCCATTCAGAATCGACAAACATAATGTGGCTCAAAGTTTCTCAACTCCTGAAGCATATTTAAATATAGTAATATTATTTATAAAATACAATATTTTATGTATATAGAAAAGCTAATTGAACTCTTCAGTTTCTGAAGCGCATCTAAAATTATATATTACAGCATGTTAAGTACAAAATTAAAATTTAAAAAAATATATTGAAAAATGATGTAAAACATATATTTGTTAGATTTAATGCCAATTATAGTTTTTGAAGAGCTGAGATCTTCTTCCATCATGTTATTTATTATGTAGATCATAGGAATTCTATTGAGTATCTCAATTATCTGTGCCCTGCAACTATCAGATATCAATAAATTATTCTTAATATTAAAATTAATATATAAAATATTGTTTTGTCTATCTAAATACAATACTTAATAATAAATGAAGTTGATAATTACTGTGTGTAATTAAGGACTGTGTATTTAGTCATATAAGAATTCGATGAGCAGATTTCTGCAACTTTTTCAGATATACTTACATATGTACATATATAGACTCCACATTAGAGAGACTATAGATTTATACGATTTTACCCGATTTATTGAAAATAACTCGACTAAAATAAAAAATTGTACATTGAGAATTTGTATTTACTAAGAATGAATAACAATTATAAATAATAATGTCGAATTGTTTTGAATTTTGAACTAAAGTTTCTTTGGTGCGTCCATATAATTGTATAATTTAATAGAAGCCTCTTTTCAATGATATATATGCGATCACTAACAAATTGTGTCTATTTATTTACTTAGGTTTATCACATCAATTTTGTAAAATGCTTATAATTATGTCTAGTCTAGTCCTTAGATAAATCAACTGTTACTTTTTCCCCTCCAGGTTCATCTGTTTTCTCAGCAGATACTTTGACCACTTTGTCAGCAGAGTTTTTGGTTTCATTTTCATTCCCTTTTCCAGCTGCCATTGCCAGCTGTTCCTTGGAAATAGAGGGCTCCAAGGAGAGAGGGACGTTGAAGTCGTGCTTCATGTACGAAATGAGGACATTGTAGACCGCCGTGCACACATTGACAAATGCCACTCGATATTTGGTGTCCAGATAGCGAAAGTTGATATATTGTGCTGCCGGCCAAGTCAGCCAATCCAGCAGATATATGTAGGGAAACTTGGCAATCAGCTCCTGATGCGTTGCCTGCAACGTTTGCCGCTCCAGATAGCACACCGTATAGAAAAATATGAGGATGCACGCGGGTGACATAAACAGTTGATCGATGAGAATCTTTTTCACAATATTTCGAAATGTTCGATGAGGCATCACGCGATCCATCCAGCTGTACACGAAGTGATGCAGTGGACCCTGAAGTGCGCCCGCTACAAACATGCGATACAAACGATCGCCATCCCAGCGATCCTGATCTTGATGCTTCAGTCCACGACGATATTCGTAATCCTGGGCGATGAAATCACCAACGGCCATCAGGACACCGGAGCCGAGGACGTTTGTAAGCAGCAGATATTTGCCAAACATTTTGCCCCACAACTGTTTAGACCAGCGCCACGGCATGAATCCTAAATCATTGCTGGCCTCACCCTTTCCATGTACATGCCTTCTTGCAGCTCCGATTACATCAGACTTGAGTACGGTTCGATTTTTGGTTAGTGTGGCAAAGGTGCGTGGAAGGTGGGTGGAAAGGCGACTGCTGCGCTGCCACACGACGACACGCCGAGCCACCACAAACATTACTCTTCTTCGGCAATAAACTAAAATTTAAAAAATATATCTATTGATGAGTTTATTCACTCATTTTGTTTGTTTTGCTTATTAGTTTGACATATCGGAAAGGGACAGTTGAAGTGTAGGAGGGGGATTCCTGCCTATCGATAGTCGGAGATGCCAATAGCCGACTAGGTGGCAGCCCCTTGTTAACATAATAGGTGCAAAACAGAGAGAGGCTGCTTTTCAAATCCTCCTCTCTTTGAGTCTAGAAACAACCTGTAGAAATTCAAAAACCGCTTTGATCTTGGTAGATGTTTTATATAAGGAAAGCTTTTTTTGTTGACATAAGTGTAAAAATGGTTAGGTGATTTGAATATAACTTCAAGCATGCAGTCTCAGCTTAATCGCGATCTATCGGTGTCTATTGACAATCGATTGCCGTTGCTGATAGTTGTTTGCGCAGCCCTGGCAAACGTCAGCGTCACTTTGCCTATTTTGCTTTGCTCTTTGGTTCGCGTTATTTTTAGGCCGCCTAATAGAATTTTTTCACAACGCTAGCGCGCCAAATGCTTTTCTGTCTAAAATAGAATCGAAATTTTATCAAAACACGCACTTTACACTTATAAAACAAAATTCACACGCAGCGCTACCAACAAATTTAAGGTTAGACACGTTCGCCACAAACATTTTTTGTTTGATAAAACGCATAAATTTACATGCATAAATTAAAAAGTGACAGCAGCAGCTAATTAATGTGTTAATTTATTCCAGTGTATACAAATAAGCGAGGCGGGGCCGTAATGAGGCTTTTATATGTCTTCGCATTGATACTGGCCGTGCGGCTGGCGTCGGTTTTTGTGGTCAAAACCTATTATGTGCCGGACGAATACTGGCAGAGTCTCGAGGTGGCTCACAAACTGACATTTGGGTAAGCACAGCGAGAGAGGATTCTATATATCAACTGATAATAACAACATTTCCCCTTCCACAGCTATGGCTACCTGACCTGGGAATGGGTAAGAGGCATCCGCAGTTATGTCTATCCCCTGATCATCGCCGCCATCTATAAAGTGTTGGCCCTGCTCCAGTTGGACAGTGCTCAGTTGTTGGTGCTGCTGCCACGCCTACTCCAGGCGACGCTATCCGCCTATTCGGATTATCGTTTCTATGTGTGGACGGGCAAACGTAAATGGGCCCTGTTTCTGATCCTGGTGCCCTGGTTCTGGTTCTATACGGGCTCGCGCACGCTGGCCAACACGCTGGAGGCTTCCTTGACCACGATTGCTCTTAGCTACTTTCCCTGGTTTGGTGAGGGCAGCGCCTATTTGTGGCCGGCTGCTATCTGCTGCTTCCTGCGTCCCACAGCAGCTGTTATTTGGCTGCCATTGGCACTCTATCATCTGCGCAACAGTCGCTTGTCTGCCGTGGAGCTAATCCTCAAGCGTTTCGTTGTCATTGGGTGAGTGGGTATTCATTTCCACATCAGAACCTTCAAAGGCATTTGGATCTGGACTTGGTTATAACTTTCACTTATATTTCTACTTAATCCTAACAACTTTTACTGTACCTCTTCTCAGTTTACTTGTGGCTGGTGTTGGCATTGCCATAGACACCTATTGGCATGGTCAACTGATTGTGACGCCGTGGGAGTTCCTCAAGTACAATGTGCTGCACAACATTGGCAGCTTTTACGGCTCGCATCCATGGTACTGGTACTTCACTGTTGGTCTGCCCACAGTGCTGGGCATCAATACGCTGCCATTTATCTTTGGCATCATGCAAACCGTGCGCAAAAGCGATAGGTTTCCGGTCAGCAAACAGTTGCTGATCAGCATATTGGTCACCTTGCTGGTCCTGAGCACCGTGGAGCACAAGGAGTTCCGTTTCGTCTCGTCCCTGCTGCCGTTGTGTTTGTATGTCTCGGCGGAGGCACTCTCCCGCTGGAGCTATCGTGCATCTCGCACGCAACTGTGGGCAGCTGCTTTGATCATACTGATGGGCAACGTTGTGCCCGCTTGGTACCTGAGCACTGTGCACCAGAAGGGACCCATTGAGCTGATGCCCAAGCTGCGAGACATTGCCCACGATTATCGCGATGAACGCGAGCATCGCGCCAATATACTCTTCCTGATGCCCTGCCACTCGACGCCTTATTACAGGTGAGTTTAAGCCACATTGGCATTAATCATGGATTAACAATTTACTCTTTTTAGCCACATTCACGAGAATGTCACAATGCGCTTCCTGACCTGCGAGCCCAATCTGGAGCAGCGGGATAATTTTAAAGATGAGGCCGATCGGTTCTTTGATGCACCCATGCACTGGATACGCTCTCATATTCCAGTGCATCCGCGCACTGCGCTGCCCTCGCATGTGGTGCTCTTTGACACGCTGGGGGAGAGGATTAGCGAATTTCTGACTAACTATAAGCTGCTGCATAGCATTGAACATGCCGAGGTAAACAAACTGATCGACTCGCAGGCATTGCTCGACGATTGGTCGGCAACGGCGTTGGGAGCGAAGCTGCCTAACCTCGCCTCTCTCTTGCAGCACCTGCAGTCGCGCACTGGCAACAGTATTCTCGTCTATCAGCGTCTGCAGTCCGGTGAAGAGAATACATTTAATCGCGACGAGTTCCAGGCTCAAGACATAATCGTTGAGCCTGAGGCGCTGCCCAGCGAGAATCAGTTCAATTAAGTGTACTTAAAAGCCATTTTATGCGAAGTTGAAGCAGTCAAAAGTTTAAAATTTTGTAAGGCCAATTTTCTTTTATATTTTGTACTAAAAAAAAAGACTTGATGCAAAACTTAATCCGCCGTTCAAATGCAAGAAGCAAACTATTGAAATTATTAACATTACGCGACTATTAATCAATGCCAAGCCTTAGAACAGTTTTTAAAACATTTTCGAAACCAGTTTGTAGTCAGTGAACGCGTTTTCGTTTTGTGCTCTGTGGTAGTTAATAATTCATTTTAAATTCAATAAATTTGTGTTAGGCGAAAGTGTCTAAAGTGAGGCAATATATGTAAGAAATTAATCTAATGTTTTCTGTCCTTTCTTTAGTCTTGCAAATAAAGGTTCAGTGATTAAAAGTCAAGTTTGTAATTCAATTTAAATTTTTTGCAAAATCGGGAAACTATCGATGCCTACATTTGGGATATTCCAGCGAAAAAATAAATGTTAAACTAGCAGAAAAGCCGTTATTTTTCTGTTGCATTTTACACGGAAAATTGTATTCATAAAGGAAAATAGTTGTTGATTGACACAGCAATGAAAAGTTACCATTTATGATACCATTTAAGTATCGATAAATGTTTTATTAATCGATATATCGCTGTTAAACGCGCGATATATCGTGTTGGGGAGCCGTGTCGTCACCGTGTCGTCTGCATTAATTAAACGCGTTTTAAACAATAAGCCAGTCGTTCAGTCAGGGCAATTGCACAGGTTCTCGCACAAGCGCAAGCAGCAACAGCAATACACACTAAAATGGCCGCTTCAATGAGAGCGTTACTCAAAGTGCGAGGTAAGTGAAAGAAAAAGAAAAAGGAAAAACTATTGCGAAACATTCGGCAACGAGAATTCGGAAATTATATAACTTACGCACGATTTTTGGCACACAGCAAAACACAAATGCCGCAACAAGTGGCAGCTGTTTTATCATTTACCTAGCATTAATTGGAAAAATTAAGCACAGATTCACCAGCTAAACGACGTGTCGGGGGGAAGAAGCAGAGCTTGCTTGGGGTAGTGGGCCATGTTCAAGGTTGTGCTCGCATGTGACCCGAACGAGAGCGAGAGAGAGATAGAGGGAGCGGAGGCGAGGAAAGGGGGAACAAATAAACAGTGGAGAAAAATGTTTTGATTAATTTCCCCATTTTTAGATGGCTTCGTTACGGGCGTTCGCTGTGGCTCGCAGTACAACAAGACGCGTGGAAACCTGAAGCTGAATGGTGATTCCCGTGTGATCTGTCAGGGCTTCACCGGCAAACAGGGCACGTTCCACAGCCAGCAGGCGTTGGAGTATGGCACCAAATTGGTCGGCGGCATTTCACCCAAGAAGGGCGGCACTCAGCATTTGGGTCTGCCCGTTTTTGCCTCTGTGGCCGATGCGAAGAAGGCAACGGATCCGCATGCCACTGTTATCTATGTGCCACCGCCTGGTGCCGCTGCTGCCATTATGGAGGCATTAGATGCCGAAATTCCATTGATTGTGTGCATTACGGAGGGTGTGCCCCAGCACGATATGGTCAAGGTGAAGCATGCCCTAATCTCCCAGGACAAATCGCGTCTCGTCGGTCCCAATTGCCCCGGCATCATTGCACCCGAACAGGTTCGTAACAATCCCAGCTAAAGCACAAATAATATTATATATTCATATTTGCTCTGATGGCTGCACACAGCTTCGGAGCCAAAGATAAGCAATGGGTGCAAAGTTCATTCTCTGACCGGTAAAGTCAATCGAATGGTTTTGTTTTTATATATTTTTCCAGCCATCAAGTTTCTTCGACACTATTTAATCAACAGTGCACTCTCGATAAGGTGAACGCAGATTGAAGATATGATTAGATTTTTTCTATTATATATTTGCACTCATATTGATATTCAAATGTTATTCAAATGATAAATGAGTTCACTAAATCGATGGTTTACTGTTTCTGCCGGCATTGTTTATTTGACGCTTATCTTTTGGCTATTGTGACGCATGAACCGGTTTTTAAATTAGTATCGGCAATTTTATATAAACGTTTTTGTTTTGTTGTTGTTTGCAGTGCAAAATCGGCATTATGCCCGGCCATATACACAAGAGGGGCAAGATTGGAGTCGTGTCCCGATCGGGCACCCTCACCTATGAGGCGGTGCACCAGACCACCGAGGTGGGCCTGGGCCAGACGCTGTGCGTGGGCATTGGTGGTGATCCGTTCAACGGCACAGATTTCATCGATTGCCTGGAGGTGTTCCTCAAGGATCCCGAAACCAAGGGCATCATTCTGATTGGTGAGATCGGTGGTGTCGCTGAGGAGAAAGCTGCCGACTACTTGACTGAGTTCAATACGGTAATTGAAGACGAAGAAGATGCTGATGATGATTATAAATGCTAATGATATTTTATCTTTCGATTGCAGGGCATCAAGGCCAAGCCTGTGGTGTCGTTTATTGCTGGCGTTTCGGCGCCACCTGGTCGTCGCATGGGTCACGCCGGTGCCATCATCTCGGGTGGCAAGGGCGGTGCCAATGATAAGATTGCCGCACTGGAGAAGGCCGGCGTCATTGTGACCAGAAGTCCTGCCAAAATGGGTTACGAGCTGTTCAAGGAGATGACGCGCCTGGAGTTAGTTTAGATTAGAATTCAATCCAATCCAATCCAATTGAAGAAGAAGAAGACCGCAACACTGTCGAGTTAATATCACAAGTACGACTCAAATGAATAATAATTGTATGCGACGCAAGAAAGATTACTAAATGATTAAGTAAAAAGTGAAAAGAGAACCTAAATGAATTATGTCGAAATCCTAAATAAATTATTGTGAAAGTTATTCGCTATTGTGAACGAGAAACGATCTGAACAAACTAAATGATGTATTCCATAAAAAAGAAACTAATTTAAGTAAGTGCCGAACCACCAATATATAATATATACTTAGTTATATATTTTGAAATCGTTCAAGAACTCAGCACCACGCACCAAAATCTCAAATTATGTCGTTCCACTCACTTTAAGGACACCAAACAAATCGTTATGCCTCATTTTAAATAAGCTTAACAAATTTTAGTTGCAAACCAAACGATCAAGCTCGAAATAAATGTTGAAAATGTAAAAATTATATACAAAAAACCATTCGAAGGCGCATAAATTTTGAATAACTCGAAATTATGTTGTGATGATCATTTCTATAAAGCGGAGCACGTATGTTAACAGGGGGAGTAATTCTGTTATGGAATGAGTAGATTGCGAACAGTGCATTTTGCTATCGATACTATCGTTTTAGATTGCAGCTCTACCCCAGCTGTTTCCTTACCAGGCCCAGCAGAATTTTGCAACACTTGCACGGCAAGCGTAAAAGAAAAATTTCTTTGTGCAATTTACGAAAACATTTCGTGTGTCCCGTGAATCAAATAGAAAAGACGCGTATGAACAAGCAGCACCAGCTGCAACAATAACTAACAAACGCAGCGCAAGCGCTATCAATTAAACAGACACTTCGCAACCCACTTAACAGCCTCCCAAAAAGTCCAAGGAAAAAAATCAACACAAAATGCCAGTGTGCAAATCGCTTTTTCTAGCATCTCCAATGGGCAGCAGAACTGAAAATGGTGAGTACTTTTTCAGTGTCACATTAAAACTTCGCATAAGTAAATGCAAATTTCATAAGTACATTCAGTCGCTATGGCTAGCTTGCAGATATATATGTATATATATATATAGATTATACATTAATTTGATTTATGTGTTGCTACGATTTTTTGTTAATTGCCGGCTGAGTTTTGAATCGTCGAACGGTCCACAAAATCCGCCGCATAATTTGTTTGCAATCTTTGCGCTTTTTCTAAAAGCAAATCAGCCCGTCTGTTGCAGCGTTTGTACGTCGAACTTCGATTGCCATAGCTCTGCAGCAAATCCAATTCATGCTGCCGGCCCCGAAACTCCTTCGGCACAATCTCATACATAATGGTGTAGGTGGTGGTGAAGTTGTTGTTCATCCTGGCGGTGATCGGGAAGTGTACTTGCGTCTCGTGATTGCGCTTAAAATTGTTGAACGATTCGATGCGTGCGACTCGAAAATATCGTGTGGCATCGCTTGTCTCGTCACTGTTCCATGGTGCTACATACGTGTCCTGGCTCTCCGTCAAATGGCTTGCGCAGCCACCAACTCGCTTGATGGCCGGCGTTATGCAATCAGATTTCTGATCGCCATTGCGACGCTCCTGCCAATTGGACAGCAACACCTCCTTGCCATAGTCCTTGCAAATGTGCTCGTCCAGAAACGATCCTCGTGGTAAACTACTAAACATTTCAAATAACCCTCGAAAGAAGTGGAAACTCAACAAAAAAAAAAAAAATAAAAAATTTCAAGTTTTCAAAAGAACATAAAATATTTCGATATGAAACACAATAACTGAAACATAATGCTTTGTGTAGTACAAAACCTAAAGGAACTTTTGAAATATATAGTTTCGTCAAAGCGAATGCTTGGAAATATCGTTAATATGTATCCATTTAAATTTGCCCTTTTGCCCGGAATCAGCTGAAATATTAACCAGGTGGCCACACTATTTGCGGCACTCGGCGAATCTATTGTAAACAAACAAAAATTCTCAATGCAAATGGTGGCAGTCGTAAGAGTAATTTTTAATGAGATATGAGGCGTTGCCAGTTAGCTTGCAGTAACAGTAAATCAAGTTACTTGCGCTTTGCCAAATAATGTGGCGTTGCCAGCTTGCTATTTTTCTTCTTTAAAGTCAAGTTTGCTGCACACCCAACTCACATCCAATAAAGTTAACATGATTTTCTTGTTATGGATTGTTATGTGTATCATAAAATGTGTTGATTTGTATTGGTTGTCAGCAATACTTGATTGATATTTTATTCGTACACTTTGTGGACTTCAGATTTGGCTGTTTCTTTCATTTAATTGACGCTAAAGTTGTTGTACACTTTGCTACAGCAACAGCTATATGGCATATATACATATAAATGTTTTTGTTTGGGTTGAAAATAGATTTGGAATGGATCGCGTTGCGTTTTTGTTCGCCATTGTTGCTGTTGTGTCAAGTGGGCTTTTATTGAAAATCTATTTTGTGAAGCAAACAACCAACCAAGCGACCAAGCGACTCACCGACCAACAGACGGACAGACAGACTGGCAGGCAAGCAGGCAGAGAGACAGACGGACGGACGAGGCCGTCAGTTCGCATTCATTGTGTTCTGATCATGTCGTCTGTGTTTTTTGGTTCCTTGTTGTTGTTGTTGTTCTTGTAACCCGGGCAAAGCAATGGCATTACTTTTGGCTAGCCCATAGATGCGATGCATAGAGATCTATGCTGTATGTTCTATATTCGAATCTTTGTGTATACGAACCGATATTTAACGCTCAACTTAACTAAAACAGACAGCACGCGTTGCACGCTTTTTTTTGGTTGTTGTTGTTGTTGTTATTTGGGATGATGCTATAAATGCATTGTCGTCGTCATCTCAGATATTATGGTTCATTCTCGAGTTGTTTGTTAGTTGTTATTGCGCTCGGTTTCGCATCATTTGCCTCCTCTGTCTGTGTTTACAAAAATTTTGCAATTTTTACTAAACGACAAAAGAAACGAATACAATTTGTGCATTGTGCCTCGTGTGCCTCTTGTGCCTCGCCGAAAATGTTGAGAATGTGTGTAAATTAATTTATGACTTTTTCACGTTGTCTTTATTTCATTTGTTACACTTTTAAACATTGTGACAGAAATATATAGATATATATTATATGTACTTGTAACCAAGTATATGCATAACTTAATTAATCTGTGATAAGATTTTTTGATTTGGCGCAGTTCTCAAGGCGGACACACACACACGCAGACACACACACATGTCTGCGTTTTCTATTTTGACATGCCCCAAGGCTGGTTTGGAACAGCTGCCTATTTGCATAATTCATAACTCCCGCAGGTGTTGCCAGTAGCTGTAGCAGCTGTGTGTTGCTTGTGGATGGGTAGCGCTGGGTCCACAAACAAGCCAGCAATCAAAGGCAACCTCATGAGCCCCTTTTTGTATGCAACATGATTTTTTTCGACCCGCCATTATTGAAATGCTGGAGAGAAGCGGCATCTTGGGATTATTTGGGGGCGCAAGTTTGTCCAAACATGGAAAGGTTGAACAGTAGAGCAATGAAGAGTAAAAGTGTAATTTAATATATCTTTACTGTTTACTGTATATGTTTACAATGCTAGTTTTGATTAGAATTTTATGCATTTTATGACTTTCACTTCATCCTCCTACACATTTATTATTTAATATTCAGCATATCTCAGCATCAGCAGTTTAGCTGCAAATTCATTGTGTTAAATTTACGCATTGAAAATTTGAATTTAAGAATTTAAGTTCAACTTGAAAAAGTCTTAAATATTCAGCTTACAGTTTGAACCGCAGAACGTGTTAAAGACGTGCTTTAAGTTTTCTTTTTTTCTTATATTTGCTTGGCATTGCAATCGTTGCAAGACATCTTGTGAGTCATCTGAGTAGCAGTCGGGGCAGAGTCTTCAATTCATACGCCTGTCTGTTGTGCTTAGCTGGCGTTTTATGCTCTTTGAGAGCCTGACAGGGACCTCTCCTTTGCCCCTCAGCCTCCCTCAGCCGGCAGGGGCTTTCCTCGTGTTGTGAGCCTGCTCGCAGTGTTTCTCCTTGTGTCAGCTAAAAAACAAGGCAGCATGATTACAAGATGACTGCCTACGCCAGGATGAAGCAGAAGCCACACGCTCTGCTCTCGCATATTAGCTGCAAATCTAGCTGCGAATTGTGATGCGGAGGAGGAGGGCTGGGGGAGGAGTGGAAAGTGTTGCTTTTGGCAGGGGGTTAAATGCTTCTGTCGTCGCTTGTCTGTTTTTTCGTGCCGTGTCTCTTGTCTGGGTCAAGCGTTAAAGTGAAAGAAGCAACAACAACAGCAGCAAGAACAACATGCAACGAGTACTTCTTGATTGTTGTCCTTGTTTTCACTGCCGCCTTGTTGACACCTTTCACGGCCGACAAATTAATTAAAGAGGCCCCACGGGCGATGTCGTAAAGCATTTAGCATTTTAATTGCGTCATAAAAACAAAAGCGCTGCCAAAACCACCCTTTGGCATTTGTCGCCTTATTAGACGAGATTAGAGTTGCCTAGTTTAAAGGGTCTTAGTGGCGGGTGCCTGGGTGGTTGGGGTGGTGTGTCACCTACCTATAGCAAAATTAAAGCCAATTTTCTTGACTTGGCACGGGTCCACGCCCACCTTGCTCTCCACTACAGCACTAGCAGCAGAAGTTGTTTCGAAACAGCCGCAGCAGCAGCAGCATCCTTGCTTTTCTACTCGCCTGTCACTTGGCCTCGAAACGCATTGCGCTTTTAAGCTCACACACGTGCGACAGACACTTGTCAACTCACTCTCTCTCTCTCTCGCTCTCTCTCTTTCTGTCTGTCTCTCAGCACGATTCTGTCTCTCTGTGTGACCCAAATAAGATGTTGTAATTGCAACAAGGCGCGACACATTCACATAGTATCTGATGCGACGTGTGCAATTATGTTCATGTTTCTAAGAGCCGAGATGAGAGCTGAGAGCAACAGTCTCACCAAAGTTGCCATCTTTTATTAAGTACATGTCTCTCTCTCTCTCTCTCTGTGTCTTTCTCTCTCTCTTGCTATCTCTTTCTGCAACTCTCTCTCTTGCACTCTCTTTAATGTAAACAATAAGAGCGAAGGGAATCAAAGCTGACTGGCTTTAAAGTGGCGTCGTTGTCGGCGTTTCATTGTCATTCCGTTCCGCTGCCAGCCTGATGCATAACTTATTTACTGCGACGCATTTGCAACCCCCCCTCCTCCCATTTCGCCTTACCCCACCCACCTGCCAACACCCCTGAAAGTTAGTTGCAGATGCTGCGTAATCTTGGCTTGTTTAAATATTTAGTGATGCGTTAATGCTTTTGATGAAGTTAATCGCTGAACTGGCATTCTCTGATTGCATTGTTTATGACACGCTCTGTTGCATACTTTGAGGCTGCAACAGCCGCTCTCTCTCTCGCTATCTCTCTCTCTCTCTCTCTCTCTCTCTCTCTTTATATGTGTCTAACTACTGACTGGCTCTCTGTGTGTGTGTTTATTGAATCTAGGACACGGTGTGCTCATTGCAAATCGGTTAACTACTCAATCATGGCACATATTGCGGTTTCCATATAGTCACGCCGACTGACACTGAAATCCTTACACACACACACACACACTCCCATGTTGTATATACAGATGATAGCTAACTGACAGTTCTTGGTCCTCTTCTTGTTGGTCCCTTCTCAGGTCTAACATTGAATCACTTTTAGTTTTACAGCTTACATAAATGTAGATTCGTAAAAGGTTTTTTATTGGCCACTTTGCACGGCTGTTGAAATTCCATCAATTGATTGAAAAATCGCATACAATATTCTTCAATCGAGGCTAAATGCAATTTGAGATTCATAATTGACAGCCGTCCATTGGAATTCGTATTTTTCAACCCAACCGAGTTGGTCCGTTTGTAATTGAATTCCACTCAAAACTCGGGCAACTATTATTATTTTTGACCTTTTTTTCTTGTTTTTGGTATGAGTGAAATGCTTTTAAATCAAATTTATTTGCCTGAATGAACTGACGTTCAAATTTGCAGAATGCATTTGATGTGAAACTGGTAGAAAAAATCTACTGTTAATTCAGTTGAGCTCGAAGGCTTGTAGACTTAAATGCCATGAGCAAAAAGAAACCGGGCTTGTTAACGCTTGGAGTCCTCCAAACTGCAACCCACCTCGAAGAATCACAACTTATTGATAGGAAAAACACGTTACAATATGAATTTCGAGCGTAAATCAAGTTTTCAACTTTGAATGCATCATTATTCTACTGGTCGACCTGTGAAAATCAAATCAATTTGGACAAAAATTATGTTTAATCTTAAGCTAGTTTTGAGGATACAATTTTTGAGTGAACTTCGAGTCAGAAACACCTTTCCTACTTTAAATTCAGTATTATTATAGACGTCGAAATATGGTTAAAAAGCGATTGCTTTCCAACATCGGAGCACTTTTGACAAATTTATTATTGTGGATATGGATTCACTATATCCAAGTTGTGCATAGCTTAAAGTTTAGTCTCGTTAAAGAGTGTAATATCGAATTCAATTAAGCTAATTAATTTTTGATTTGATTTGATTAGATTTTCGATTAAAAATTACCTTTCAATCTTGGCGACCTTTGTGCTGGGAAAACGTTAAGTTTCTTGATTGCAGGCAACAAGAAACTTTTGCCATAAGCAATTCCTGTTTGGCACGCACACATACACACTCATACACACACACAAACACATACATACATAGATCTATATAGCGTACGTATATAGAGGCTACTCCAAGGTCTTGTCATGGCCTGCTTGGAAGCCAAAACGATGTGTAGATAGGCAGAGGCAGAGATGATGCCCAGCAACAACTACAACAAACACTACTCACGCACGCAGAAAGGACGAAACTAAAGCGATGAGAAATGCCACCCCAAAAAAAAATTTTAAGAAAAAAATGCAAAGCGTGCGCATTTTGGCTCTGGGGCAAAATACAGTAAAGGAAGCGAAAGAGATACACAGGGTGAGACAGAGAGAGAGAGAAAGAGAGAGAGAGAGAGAGAGAGAGTAAGTTAATGAGCGAAGGGGGTCGCGGGGGCCACAAATGCTTTAACCTGTTTTCCGCAAAGCTTTTACGCACTCGGACTCTGACTAGCTAGCGTGCGCTCTCGCTTGCACTCACCTTGCCACCCTTTTTTTTGTTTTGCAAACTCAAAGCGCAAATAGAGCATAGACAGAGAGAGAGAGAGTGTGAGAGAGCGCGCGAGAGAGAAGAATGGAAGAGAGAGCGCGAAAAGCCCCAGCCAGCGAGCGATGCTATGCTATGCTTTTTTTTCGGACGGTGGCCCAGTATCCATTCGGTCGTGTTCCCATAATGTCTGCCAGCGGAGCGCAGTGCTCGTCGCCGTCGCACTATTCGTCGCAGCCGTCGTCAACGTTGTCATTGTCATCATCAGTAGCAGCAGCAGCAGCAGCAGTAGTAGTAGGAGCAGAAGCAGCAGCAGCAGCAACAGCAGCAGCAGCAGAGGAGCAGCAGCAGCAGCAGCTTAAAAATACATTTTCACAATGAAGCAAATGGGCGAAGGCAAGAAGAGAAAATGAATTAATTTGCGCTGTTTGTGAAGCTGAAAACAAATACCAAGAATACCAAAAAAATAAAAAAATAAATAAAAATACAATAAATACACTTTGGTAAAAAAAAAATAGTGTGGAAAATACACACGCACTAAAATTCGTAAAATGGCACGCGCGTAGCTGTAAATGAAACAGCAGCAGCAGCAGCAGCAGCGGCAGTGGCAAACACCAGCAGAAAAACGAACGGGGATTAGACACTAAAGAATTTCTCTGTGTGTGTGTGTGTGTGTGTGTGAGATAAGAACTCATCGTATATCGTATATAGATATATATATATATATAAATATGTGTATATATTTATACGCATATATTTATGCAGGAAAAGGTAGCGGAAAAGGCAGCAGCAGCCCGGCGCAGTGTATATAAATATAAAGTGTGTAAGGAATCGGAATCGGGAAAATTAAATATTTTGTTTTCAGCGCCTCACGTTTTTCTATTCATTTCATTTGTGTTGCCTTGCGCTTTTCGTCGCATGAAAAATGCTAGCGGAATTTTCATAAGAATTTTAAGATTTTTTCATTGCTGTTTTTTCGTATTGCCTTTTCGGTGTCTTATACATACACAGCGACACACGTTTTTTTCACACAACAATCACACACCATACACACACACACACACACACACACTCGTTTCGTTTTTTTTTTTTTTACGTTCGTTTCGTTTTTCATTTTCGTGTCGCGTTCGTCGTCGTCGTCGCCGTCGTCGATTCGTTTCGTATGCTCGCCACACAGCCGAGCAGCGCCGTGCAATTGTTTGTTTGTTGTTCTTGTAAATTGTTGTTGTTGTTGTTGGCATAGGAAGCCCTGTAAAAGTTTAGGCACAACGCAGCCCTGGCAAATGGTGCAATTTTCTTTTCGTTTTTTTTTTGTTTTTCACGCTTAGCATAAACAAACTGTTAATGTATAAAATTAATCGAGAATTTCTCTCTCTCTCTTTGTCAACTTACAAGGCGAATGCAACGCGGCAAACTTCCTTCTGGGCACACACACTCTCTCTCTCTCTCTCTCTCTTGCTCTCTCTCGCCCACGCAAGCGCAGGCGTTTTAAAGCTTGCGCTCTTTACAACACTGCGATTACTCTGACAGCCGCAACAAATTTTCGAGTACAGCGTGGCCCACAAGTCCCGAAGCTTTTTAACTGTTTCGACAGCAGCGACGGCGGCGACAGCTGCTGTAAACACACAGTTTGTGGGACGCACGACAGACAGAGAGAGAGAGGCAGAAAGAGAGAGAGATATAATACGGAACAGACCGAACAGGGAACAGTGTTGAATAGGGTAACACATTGAGCACATGCAAAGTTTTGCTGTTTGCTTGCCTTGCCGTCCTCTTAATCAGCAATGCAATTTGGCTAACGTCTTGTTCCAAATTATTCTGTGGCCTTTGCCTTTGGACTTACTCATGCTTGTTTTTTTTTTTTGGCATTTGCTCATTTTCTTGGTCGTCGTGTGTCATGCGTCGTATGCGCGTTTTTCTTTTTACGGGCGACTACGTCATTCATCCGTCTATCACCTGTGCTTGCCTCCTCGCGTGCTCCTCCTCCTTGAAATCATGCTGCTTTTTATTTGTTATTTTGTTTCTTCACATGTTTTGCGGGTATTTCCCAAGCAAGAATATATAAACAATCTATAAAATCGAATGAAAGGGGGGTTTCTGTGCAGGGGGAGGGGGTGTTGCAAACACTGAATGGGCAGTCATTTATCCATTTCGTTGTCTTTGGCTTGTTTCATATTTTGCTCTTATGCTTGGTTGTTTATTTTCGCCTGTGAAGTGTCCATGCGTTTCGCTTGTTTGTTTGCTTATCATCGCCCATCGGTGGACTTTCGCCTTAAGACGTAAACATTTCGATTTATTTTTGCAGGGTTTCGCTAATTATTCCATTATGTGACCCATAATGCCAAGCACTCGAACAAAAGGGCAAAGGGTAAATGCGATGTAAGCGTCTAACGATTCTAATATTATTATGGAATAATGGTTACATTATTGCAAATCAAATTGCTTCAATTATCGTTCAGTTTCAATGTGATCTGATTTAAGATTGTACATTTATTTTTTTGTCACTACTGTTGAAACAGTATATTTTTGCCTAAAAAAAAAGATACGCATATCTTGGTTCTTACATCTAACCGTTTCGCGTTTATCGTTCAACAACCCCTGCAAAGCCCTTGAAATTTTTGCTACCTAAACCTTGCAACGAAACACTACGAAATAATAAAAACTTATAGCAATCAAAAATTAGCATAATTATGTCGAAAAGTGAACAACGAACTCGCAAAAGAGGAAGCACTGCAATAACAATAACTAGAACAACAACAACTGGTCAAAGACTCGAGAGAGTCGTGTTGTGTGTGTGTGTGTGTATAAAAGCATCCCTTGGGCGAACTATGCGGCGCCTTAGCTGTTATCCTGCGGCACGCATTTCAATTACTCTGCTCTCATCTCGTTTATAAGCTCGTGCAGTTTTGAATATCAAAATAAATCGTAAACAAGGTCACATTCCATGCTGGTGTGTGTATGTGTGTGTGTGTGTTTCTCTGCTTGTGTGTGTTTTAATGCGTACACAGATACACACACAAAAAAGTTCGCGCTCGTGTGCTCCTCGTGCTCTCTGGAAAGTTTTCAAAACGCTCAACTTATTCATCGCTTCTCAACTTGCAGCAAAATGTGTGCCACGAAAAAAAGCAAATCAAAGAAATTCTCACATAACCTGAACTACTCCATAGACAACAGAAAGTGAAGAATAGCGGAAGCAAAAAAAACAACAAAAAAAAACGAGAATTAATAAAATGAAAAACAATAATAATAATTGTAATAAAATCAAGTTAGGAATCACAAACCAAACGAAAAGCTTTAACTAAAATATTTTTAAAGTATACAACTATACATACACTAATAATTGGTAATACAAAATTTAGCTGTAAGCTTTAAGGACCTAATAATAATAATAATAACAATTGAGAAACTTCGCAAGTGCAGAGACCAAAAAAAAAAAACAAAAACAAAATAAATAAATAAAAAACACTAAAGGCAGCTTGTGATTCTCGGTGATATGGTGTAAATGTGATAAAAAAGTTTTAATGCAATTTCAAAACAACAACAACAATAACTACATCAAAAAGTCTCAGCAAATTGTGTTTTCGATTCAACGTTTTTTCGTTTCGCATAGTTTTTTAACGGAAATTTAAAAAATCAACAACAATAATAACTATACTTATACTATATACACATATAAATCTAAAACTAAACTAAGCCTTATCTCTATAAGTGAGCATAAATTTAAATACAAAAATAAATTAAGTCGCACAAAAAAAAAACCAAAAAAAAAAGAAAAGAAGAAATCCCGTGGAGGAGCAGCTGGAAAAGGCGTAACGATTGTTTTTAAATATTCTATCAACTGCACTGCCGGCATATTTTTGACAAACAAATAAAAGATATGATTTTACTCTAAACATTAAACGAAAAAAGCCCAAAACCAGAATAAATACGTACAAACACCAAAAAACTCTTATCGTACGCAAAGATTCTTATGAAATACGCAAAAATAAAAGACAAAAAAAACAACCGAAGTTGGAACGTTGAACAAAATGCAATCGTTCTGCTCACTTGCAAAGGTAAATTAATTGATGCAAAAAATGCTAATAAATGCCAATAAAATATTTCAATTACATTTATATATAATATACTTGTACTATTTTTACAAACTACCCTTACTAAATATAGAAGTAAAATAGTTATTAATTATTAAGTTTAATTTGAATTAGAATAATTAATTTACACAATTTTCTTGAGCAACTCAACTAAATAGTTTCTTGTTGTTTCTTCGCCGTCTTCTTTATTTTGCAGTACATTTTACATAAACTGTGATTATGAGTTCCACAAAATCTCAAGTAGCCCTTGCTACAAATATTCCAACCAACTTAGCCTCCGCCTCAGCCACCTCCACTGCGGCCACCGCCGTTGTTGTTGTCGCCGCCGTTGCCAGCAACAACAGCAACTCAACGACGTCATCAGCAACAGGAGCAGCAGCAACTGCGGCAGCAGCAGCAGCAACAACACCAGCAGCAGCAGCAGCAGCCACAACTCAAACAGTGGTCAGCAGCAGCAGCAGCAGCAGCAGCAACAACAACAATAGCAACAGTAACGGTAACAGTAACAGTAACAGCAACTGCAACAACAGCATCGAGGAAACAACACACAACGCCTCAAATTTGGGGCGTCAAAACAGTTTTGGCAATAGACGCGTAAGTTGAACCAAAATCAAATATCTGGGCTTTACATATATATTGTATTTTGTATATTGTATATTGTATAAACATAAATAGGTCAGTTTAAGACGCATCTACTGAGAGTGTTCTCATTCTCTGACACACACACGCATATATATATATATTCTCTCTCTCGCTCTCGCTCTCACTCTGTTAATGTCGCTGACTCTCTGCAGATAAGTGCATATATAAATATATATATATATATATATATATATACCTTAGTGCAGCCATGAACTGGAATTGTCGCCGTGCAAAAGATACACGCCCAAAAACTGCATAAACTGGGTCAGGTCAGTTTGGGGCTGGCTCACAGTCAGTGATGGTTGCGTTCCTGTTTGCGTTTTCTAGGAATTGGAATAGCAATTTACTGGAAATTCCCAATTGACCCCCAAAGAAGTGCATTGCAAAACGTGTTTTTGATTACTAACACTGCTGCAGCTGCTACGGAAAGGTCCCCAGACAGCTAAGGGTTTTCCATGGAGTTCAAGGTTTTCCCTCTAGCCAGCAAATTGCAGCAGTGGGTGGCAAGTGTTACGCCCAGTTGTGTGTGGCATGTGGCACACAGTTCAATTTCGGTTTGTTATTAAATCGCTGCTTTTCTTTTGAACAACATAAACCAAGCGACGCAATAACGGAACAGTAGCGCTGCTGCTGCTGCCGCCAAGGTCGATTTATTGATTTTCCCCGGCCAACTGATGACGTTCGAGGAAGTTGGCCAGCACGAAGTTGTCTGCGCTGTGATTACACTCAAATGTGGCAATGTAAAACAGAAAAACAGCAAATCGAACAATTTGTAACCTTTAAGTGAAGCCATTTGACACTTATGGAAACTGAGCGCAATTTCGAGCATTGAACTGTTTTAAGGCCTATTGTCAGCGAATAAATAACTTATAAAAACTCTAACTCGAAGTGGTATAACACTCGACAGGCAATAATACAGATTGCCCTGGCTATAATGACTTAGTTCACTTCCTTCGAATCATTATAAATATCGTGACAAAATTGCATTAATATTGCAAAGCTCTAAAACAAATTGTCTACACATTATTAGACCGGTGATAAATGTTGCAACAATGTAAATCATATACATGCATAAATATTTTTAGAAATTAGAAATGCATATTTATAATTATTGCAAAATTAATTGTTGTGCTAAATATAAAGGCTTGCCAAGACAATTGAATATATTATGTACAACATTTTGCGATAATTTAAGGGCTGTTTAGTATTTGCCTTTAGGCGTCGTTGGTAACGGCCAAAATAGTTTACAACATATTTACTCAAAGGTGGTGGTTAGAAGTGGTTGCTCAAGGTTCGGCAAATGGCTTTGACTTTGACATTTGCAGTTGCCTTATTGCTTTTACTTTCTTGCCACGTCATGCTGCCAATCCTTGGTCTGAAAGTTGGAGCACAATTAAGCGTAGTTCGAGTAGCGCAACAAAATCGCTTGATTAATGGCTGGTTCAATAGCTTTAACTGTTAGGTGGCCCATGTGCATAAAAACAAAAATCAATGGAGCCACAGCCAATAACGCCATGGAAAACCCAGTGTTAAAGGCGCCAGACTAACTGACGAATTAACCGATTAACTATCTGACATACTAATCATTGACCGATTGACCAACAGAGTAAAGAAATATCATTAACTGACTAGCTGACTAACTGATTTGTTTGTGTTGTCCTTCGTCCTTTGTTGAAATGTCAAAAGGCAACCAGGCAGGCAATGGAGGGATTTAGGTGGCTGGCACGACAACAGCAGCAGCAGCAGCAAGCACAAAAGCAAGCCTGCCCAAAATGGTGGGGAGTGCATGACTAACAAATATCCTGTTCGAAAAGGATATAAATTTATAGATTTTACTAATATAATAATCAAATACAAATGTGTAAAGGTTCTAGTTGTCATCACCTCAGGCAGACTTGTCCTTTTTTTAATTGAAAAATGAAATTAAATGAAAAACTGCACTTTGAAAACACTTTGGCCGAGCAAAAGTCGAGTAATGTGAGCAGCAAGAGAGGCTCCCATTGCCTGTCACACTCGCATTTCATTTTTATATCCCTTTTTTTTACGTGACTTTGACTATAACAGCGTAAACATTGGTTTTCCCCCCCATTCCGTTCTCACCCCGTCAACGGAAACTGAAGCAAGTGAGTCGGGATCGTTAACGTGGCGTTTGCTTGCGTTGGCAATTGTTTAACATTTTAATGAGCCAACAATTGCATCACGGGGGCAACGTCATCGCACCTGCTGCCTTCTGGCTGCCTCTTGTTATATATATTTTTGATTTTTAATATTTCTTTTTGGTTGGTTGTCAACTTTGGCATTCACTTAGCAGTGGCGACTAATACGAAATTAATTGCTTCCATTCTCTCTCTCTCCTGTAGGGAAATATGAAGGGCAAACATCTCACACGCAGTCATGCCATGCGCGAGTCCACATCGCCGCCACGCACGCCAACGCCGCGAGGCGCCTCCGAGCAGCACCTGCAGCAGCAGCAGCAAAATCAGCAGCAGCACCAGCAGCACCCCAGCGATGCCTACAATGAGCACAACAACAACAATGCCATACTAAACAATAACAATAGCAATAGCAAAGCACAATCAACTGGACGCGGCAATTCGCCGCTTATGGAAACGCCCGCTCTGATTGTTACTAGTCAGCAACAGCAACAAACCCAGCAGCAGCAACAACAACCACAACCACAACATAACCAACACCAACATCAACAGCCATTAAATGTGCCGTTGCGAGATGAAGCCGAGTTTCCCAAATTGTCACCCCCCAAGAAATCTGGAGCTGGTCATCACAATCGCACCAACAGCAATGGCAGTTCGGGCATCGAATACAACAACAATAATAACAACAACAACAACAATAATAATAGCAACAGCAGCAGCAACAGTGGTAATAACAAAAAGTATGTGGTTGACTTGAAGGCTAATGGTCTGGATAAGCATCACAATAACAACAACAACAGCAACAATAACAACAACAACTCCAGTGCGCTGCTCTACAATTCAGGCATGAACTATAAGGCGGCGGAGCGTCATGAGCGTCACGAGCGCCATGAGATGTCCAGCCAGAATAGCAATCTCAGCAACAGCAACCACGAGGAGGAGCAGTATCATTACGAACGGGGTGGCGGTGGAGGCGGCGGCGGTGGTGGTGGCGGTGGTGGTGGTAAAAAGCATCGTGCCAACACCAATTCGAAGGGCTCGAAGCCGCGCTTGAAGAATTTAACTGGCAGCTCATCCGGCAGCATTGATGGCGGCAATGGAGGTGTTGGTGCTGGCGGCGGAGGTGGTGGAGGTAGTGGTGGTGGTGGAGGAGGTGGAATGAACAATTGCAGCGGTGGCGGTGGCAATGCTCAAACGAATAACTCGAGCAACAACACATCGGGATTCATATCGCGCGGTAAGTGCTAGCATCCTTGGTGCGAGAGACAAGGATGCTGGTCAGCCATACATCACATCATGGCTCAATTCATTGATTCTAGTCTTTCATCAATCAGAGAACTCGAGCGAACAGTACACGGACTATGGCGGCACTGATCTGTTGACCTTCTTTCGCGATACGCTCAATAAGAATCCCAAGGATCGAAATATCCTGATGAAAATTGAAAAGGATCTGATGGATTTCATTCAGGACAAGGGGTAATTTTGCAATCATATTTGCAATCATATTCATGTTAATATCTACGGTTTTCCTTGCCAATAATAGGCGTGACTGTGAGTTTCGCTTTCCGCCAACTTCCTCGTATAATCGAATGCTAATTCATCGCACGGCTGCCTTCTTTGGCATGGAGCACAACGTGGACTCGGAGACGCAACAGTGCGTCATTGTGGCCGTCAGCAAGGGCACTCGCATACCAGAGGTGAGTGAGGAGCTCTCTCTATATATATATATATATATATATATATGCATTTGCTAACTTTGCTGCTTTTACAGATACGCTTCAAATCGCTGGTACGTGTCGATCATCGTGAGGATGCGCGCAAGTCAATTTTGAAGCGGGATACGCACAGCTTTGATGAGGTGCGCCAATCGCCGTATCTCTGCCCGGAGCGTGTCATGCTCGATCGCAAGGCCAAGAGCTTTGAGGAACGCGAGGAGGACTATGATCGAGCGCGCAGTCGCATCTTCAATCGCACTGCCCAGCAGGATGCGTACGATGAGGATTGCTATGTCGGTGGAGGAGGAGGTGGCGGCGGCGGCGGCGGTAATTGGCACAATGCTGCTGAGCAGCAGCAGCAACAACAACAGCAACCGCCCAGGCCCAAGCGGCCCAATGGCAAGATGCTGCAGATGCAGAATGTTAGTTGGCTCCGATTGCAAATGGGCTTCTAAACTAATTGGGTATTTTACTTCCAACAGTCGACCGAGTCCCGCGATGGCGGCAGCATGCGTTCCGGTGGCGCCGTGCCCAAGTCTCACAACTTTGGCAACTATGGCGGTCCGCCGAGCACTGGTGGGCCTGGTGGCGGCTCTGTGCTCCCGCGCGGCGATTCAACCACCTCGAATAAGAGCGGACGTGGCGGATTTACCAAGCAGGATTCCACTGGCAGCACCAATACGCCCTGGCGCCTGTCGCCCTCGAGCAGCGGGTGAGTTAGCCACAAAAAAGCAAAGAAAAAGAAAGAGTGCTCTTATTTTTTGTGGACCCTACACATATACCATATCCGATTCGCTCGCTCTCTCTCTTTTATTTCTCTCTGTTAACCAAAAATTTTTGAAACTGTTGTTAAAATTGCCAAAAACATTTTTGTATGCCACCCAAAACAACGAAACAAACCAACAACCCAACAACCAACCAACCAACAACAACATTTACCAATCCAGCTACAAGACACGCACCCAATCCGTGCGCTCCGATTCGGTAACGCCGTCGCCCACTGGCTACGGCAGCGACAGGCAGACGCCGGAGTTCAGCCAGCCGCCGCCGTCGTCGCAGTCGGCGCAGGTTCAGTCCAATCGGGGAATGGGCTCGTTTATGCAGCATGCGGCAACAACAGCAACATCGACACCGTTAACAACAACGTCCAGCACGCCAGAGTCGGCATCCGCCTCGGGACTCGTCTGGGCCGTCACAGACATTTCGAGTGTGCCAATTGGCAGCGTCCTCATTGATCCGCAAACCCTCCAACCAATTCTCAATGCAGACGGGTAATTTACAAAAACCAAAAACACACCAAAATCCAACAACAACAGAATCAAATTTCAATCGTCACCCAAAATTATGTTGTGCTCCAAACAAATTTTTAACGCAATGCTTTTTTTTTGTAATTCTGTTCAATTTCTGCAAAGTTTTTTTTATTTAATTCTAACTAATTTTTATAAAATCAAAAATATTTATGTGGATACGGAATCGATATACAATTGAATTTTATCAAATAATTTGAGACTATCAAAATAATTTGTTAGAAAACAGTTGAAAATTAAATTATTCGAGCATATATCCGAAGGGATTGTATATATGTTATATAGGTGTCTATCAACTTTGGTATTATCATGTCTGTCTGCTTGATTCTTAATATTTCATTTTGTTAATTCCAACTAATCAGTGATATGTGCTTAAAGTAACTTTTCACTCTTTTTTTTAAACAATTTTAATTAATATTGAATTTATCATATAGTCTCAAATTAGTTCGAAAGGGTATTCACTCTTCGGCATGCCGAACTTTGCTTTTACTTTTTTTTGTTTCTTATACCGTTTCCAACTGAAATGCTTTATATTACGCGATTAATGATGAAAATTGTTTCTTTATTTTTTTTTGCATATCTATTTAAAATATATAATTATACATACATTATTAATGGCATTTCGATGTGCTACTATCAAATTGTTGATGTTGTTTTTGTAAATTATCTGCCTAAAAATCAATCAAATTAATCCACACCAATCGCTCGCCTGCTCGCTCGATCGCTCGCTCTCTCAAATATGATTACTGATTATGAATATAACTCTGTGTGTGCTCTTAGCACTTAGCTCTCGCAATCAGCTCTCAGTTTAGCATCCCACTTACGCTCTCACGCTCTCTCTCTCTCTCTCTCACCTGTACATTGACCACCAATCGTCAATCAACACACTCACACACACACATACAATTCACTCACTCACACACAGCTCTTTCGCTCTCACCTGCTCTCTCTCTTTCTCTCTCTCTCAACTCGCTCGCTCGCTGTCAACTGTCAACTACCGCGTTACATGTCGCCTCAGTTAAATATTCTGTTTCAAATCAGCTTCTTTTTTTTATCGATCGCCTGCTGCCGTTTGACACTCTCTCTCTCTCTGTGTGCAAGCTACCATCAGATAAGTGTTGCCGTCCTGCCAGTGTTGTCGTCTAATTGTTGTTCGTTCTAATTGCATTGCATCTCTCTTGTATCAAAAAGCATTTGTTGTTGTTGTTTTACCATTACTTTATATACAAATATGCAAAATTATATATATAATATAATCGTACAAGAGCAGAAAATGTCTGTCGCTGCCGTCGCCTCTCACAGCGCACTTTTTCCGCAAAGCAAAGCTGTGGCAACCCTGACAACTTTTTACTACTTTCTTATTTTGATTTTGGTTTTATTTAACACAATTGCATGCGATGAGCGAGTAACCAGAAAAAAAACACTTAAATATCTGAGAAAACCTTTTAAAAAAGTTGATTTAAATTGGTGTTTTTCATTTTGCAGCTCCATTTACCACTACGACCCGTCCAACTTGCCGCCCAATCAGGCGCTGCAACAACAGCATGCGGGCAACAATGGCGGCAACAACTATCAAACGAGCGGCAACTCTGGCAATTATGCGCCTTATCGCAAATCCTCGCCGCATCAGGCACCACCACCACCACCGCAGCAGCAACAGCAGCAGCAACAACAGCAACAGCAGGTGGTGCAACAGCAGCAGCAGCAGCAGCAACAACAACAGGCATACAGCAATGAGTTATCCTGCAGCTCTACGGAGAGTTATGCCGAGGAGGTGCAGTCACCTGGCATGGACTGCTCTGACAGCTACGATAGCTACAATGCTGAACAGCAACAGCAACCGATGCAACAACTGCCACAGCAGCAGCAACAGCCGCTGCTTAGTTTGGAGGCTACTGGCGGCGCCGCCAGCAGCAGCAAGGGCGACGAATGTGATAGTCTGTCCAGTGCCACGGCCTGTCTGAGCATTACGACATCGACGTCAACCAAGAACTATGATCGCATCGAGGTGCAAAAGTACAAGAATCAGGCAACCAGTCCCAACATACCCGCCTGCTGTGCCGGTGACAAGGAACTGGAGGCAGTCGCTCAACTTCAGCAGCAACAGCAACCATCGCAGCAGCAGCAACAACAGCTACAGTTGCAGGAAATTGAGCCTGAAACATTGGTTGTGGCCAACATTGCAACATCGCCAGCTGAGTTGCCCAGCAGCCAAACGCCACTGCCGGTCGCGTCGTCGGTGCCCGTGAATTGTGATGCCCAATCGCTGACGCTATCGCCCAGCACCACGCCCTACAGTCAGTGCGAGGTGAAGACAGTTAGCCAGAGCCAAGCTCAGGTCGTTGCCGAGGAGCCCAAGACGACAACCTGGGCCTATACGCAAAGCTATCAGGCACCGGATGGATCCACCGTCTTTCATACAACAACCACGCCCAATGGCGCGGCGCCATATTGCGCCACCACATATCAGCAGGGGGTGAGTTGAGCACAAAAGAAACCAAATTCTTTCCCCTTTTATCTCAATCAGAAATTAGAATATCTAAAATTGATCTAATTTGGATTGAGATGTAACTTTTGAAACTAATAAAAACTAAATGTTCTTTTTTGTTTTGAATAATTTTCACAGCCTGATGGCAGCATTTATGCTGTGCCGCAGGGCATGGTGTTTGCGGCGTATCCGCAGCCAACTGTTAGCAGCGCTCCGTCACAGCCGATCTTCCAGCTGACGGGCAGCAGTCAGCCAACGCAGACGATATTCGCCTCGCAGGATGGTAGCGAAATGCCCGGCACCTACATGATACCTGTCTTCGATCCGGCCCAGCAGCAGCGCGATGGCCTGATACCCGCCCAGGCCATTTACCAGACGCCGGCTGGACCCGCCACCGCTGTAATGCCGATGGCCACTGCCACCTATCCGGCGGCGCAATTTGCTGCCGCCGCGCCCAACGGTGCGCCCATCTATCAAGGGCCGCTCATCTACTCCGGCGATCCGTCTGGCGCCCAGCTGCAACAGCTGCCAATGGCCACGTATCCGATTAGCTATCCGTATCATTACTATCCCATACCGTACTATGTGCCGCAGCAAGCAGTTACCGCAGCCCCAATGGTGACCACCACAGCCTCTGGTCAGCCGCCCACTGGACCAGTCCAGTCACATGCCCAAGCTCAGGCGCAGGCTCAAGCGCAGGCCCAGGCTGCCGCTCAGCTAAATCTCGCAACTGCCTCGGCGGCTGGTCCGTCAACGGTAGCTGGCGTTGGCCAGCAGCAGCAGCAGTCCAGCAATGGACATCTCGTCACTAGCAACCACAGCAACAGTGGCGGAGGCGGTTCTGGCGGTGGTGGTGGCGGCGGCTATATGGGTAGTGCGCGTGTCAAGCGTACACCTGGCGGTGGCTCCATACACTACAATCCCAGCTATCCGTCAACGGCGCCGGGACACCCCACTGCCGCCCATCATCCAGGCGTACCTGGCTCTGCCCAGCTGATTGGCGCACCCAGCGGCGCCGGCACAACGACATATCATGCGCTGCCCACGCTGACATTGGCGCATGGCGGTGCGGGGCCCAATACAGATCTCAATGCAGCAGCCGCCGCTGCTGCTGCTGCAGCCGCTGCCGGTGCACATGTGTATGCGCTGCCGGCTCAGCATGCGACAGCACTGATACCGACCAACCTGTTCCCGTACGCAGCCGCAGCGGGTCAACCGGGTGCACAGCAGGCGGGACCGCACAATGCCCTGCTCCAGCAACAGTCGCAGCAACAGCAACAGCAGCAGCAACTACAGCCGCCACCAGCTGCGCATTCGGCGCCACATCATGCTCTGATAACGGCTGCACCGTTCTATCCGGCAGCCAGTGGTGGATCAATGGATTTAGCAGCGGCTGCATCACAATCGGCGCCCGCAACGCCAGCGGCGCCGGGAAGACAGGCGCCGCTATTTAGCACGCCCCCGGCTCCGAATAACGGGGGGAGTGGCAACAGCAGCATAGGTGCATCCGGAGGTGGCTATCACAGCAATAGTTCAACGCCGCACTACTATCACAGCCAGAGCAGCAACGAGAGCGGCTATGTGCCCTACGAGAAGCGCAACAATGCAAGCGTCGGTGGTGGTGGTGGTGGTGGTGGTGGTGGTGCACCCACTGGTCGCAAACCCTATCATCCCGGCGGTGGTTACAATCCACGTCACTCAGCGCCGCTGGGCGGCATGCAGTCCGGCGCCAAGACGCCGCTGCTGAACTCCAACAATGAGCCCACGCCACGCGCCTCACCGAGCAGCATTACACTGGGTCCGTCGACGTCGTCGAGCTATCATCACAATGCTGCCCATCGTGGACCGCCGCATGCGCTGAGCAAGCGCGATAATAAGCCCACACAGTTGCCGCTGATTAGTGGGCCACCGCCCAGCTATATCACGTCCAGCAGCAGTCCAGCTGGTGGCGGTGCCGGTACCGGCTATGAGTCGAAGCCGCCAATGCGCCTGAATGCGGCCGCCGCCAGCTTCCGCAGCCAGAAGTCGATTAGTGCGGACTTTCGTCGCAGTGTCTCGCAACGCAATTCGCCCAGCACCAATGGAGCTGGCAATGGCAGCGGCAACAGCAGCCACGAGAGCAGCAACAATTCGCCCAACAGTATTGTAGGCGGCATCGGTGGTACTGGTAGCGGTGGTGGTGGTGGTGGCAGCAGTAATAATAATAGTGCCGCCAATACGCCAAATGCCAGCGCTTCGGCTGCCGGCATGGGCACCCAGTATATTGTGGTGGATCCTTCGACGGGCGCCGCTATGAACGCCTCGCCGCCATCTCTCTACTTGAGCGGTGGCAGCAATGCTGGCGGCAGCGGTGGTGGACCGCGTGCTTCGCACATTCCAGCCCAGCTGCATCACAGCGCTGCAGCGGCGGCGGCGGCAGCAGCAGCAGCAGCGGCAGCCGGTGCTGGTGGCCAGCAGGCGACAGCGGTGCTCAGCAGCGTCGCTGCACTCGGTGGCTACAATCCCAACGCTGCGTCCGGTGTCTACATCAAGTATGGTCAGACATACTTTGCGCATGTGAGTAGTGTACACTTTTGAATCCCCCGCAAGATCGATATTTACTTATTCGCTTTATTGCCTTTAGCCATCGGTGGCCTTGCCGAACAGTCGACGTTCGCCCTCGAACGATATCCGGCCGCAAATGGCACAGGTTGCCGGCATGTATCCCGCCACAATGATGATACAAGGTGAGCAGTGCTAACAGAATTCCAAAAACAAAACAAAAACACAAAATCGAACTTCAATCGATGTTTAGAATCCTTGTTCCTCTAACGATATTAAACTTTTTATATTACGAAATTTTTTATAATTGATCTAAAATGATTTTCTTATGGTTCGTTTACTTGTCTGGAGAAATCTCAAATGTATCCCAGACCTTTTTGTACTGAATACGATGGTTGTTCGAAGATTATTTGTGTGTTAACCAGAAATCATATATTATTATTTGATTATATTAATGTTATCCAATAAACTTTCTCACTCTTTCAGCACCTCCACGTCATCCAAGTCGTCATCCAAATCCAAACTACAAGGGTTCGCGTCCGCGGTAAATCTTCCGCCCCATCGAACAACTGGCGAACGGACGGTCACACAAAAAAAAAAATAAAAAGCTAACAAAAAAAAAAAATAAAATAAAAACAAAAAAACTACATACACATAACGGCATACCTAAGATAAATATAAATAGCAACCTAATCTAGTGGAACATAATGTAGTTGACAAAAGAAAAAAAAACAAAACAAAAATATGAAGATGAAGATGAAAATAAGAGTGAAGAATGAATTAGACACGATGGTAACTGAGAAGCGAGTACAGAGCATAGAAGCAAATAAAAGCCGCAGAGAGTTGTTGGGCGTTAATGGTAGCAGCAGATACAGAAGCATTAAAACAGCAGCAGCAGCACAGAGGAGACTGAGCGGGATGGGGGCAGCTAACGGGACTGCAGGCTAAACAGGCGCGTTAGGCAAACAAAGTGTGAAACAATTGTTAATCTTCCGCAAAAAAAACAAAAACAAAAACACTACAAAAACAAAAATAAAAAACAGTCAGAGAAAAATCAACTTAGCGTCTAGCCGTAGTTAAGATTTATCAATTGTAGCTACAACAACAACAACAACAGCAGCAAGAACAAAAACAACAACCAGTAAATATAACAACAACAACAAAAACAACAAGAAAATGCTGTATATTTTGTGCCATTAAAAAATAGTCTTAATCAAATCATATACAAAACGAGTACCGAAGAAGCAATAATTGAGCACAACGACTGCGAACTAGACTAGAACCGGAAAGGACAACACAGGACGGGACGGGACGGATCGCAACTAAACGGAACGAAACGGAACGAAACGGAACGAAACAGAACCGGACAGTAAAACTCACATCAAAATCGTTAACTAAACTATAAGAATTATATTAAACTATATGCGGCTTTAGTTCTGCTGTATGCGAACAATCGGAGCGCAGGAGTTGCCTACGCTTACAGACTGACGGGGAACAGTAGAAGAAAGCCATATGCCCATATTACACTCAGATATATATATATATATATGTCCGATTGAAGAGTTACATATTATTAGCCTCAGATTTATAGCTTCTGTCACCCCCAAAAAATGTTTTGCTGCTATAAAATGAAAGGAACAAATGTATTATATCGATTAATGTTGTCTTGCTTTGGTGTGTTTAATTGAATGCGTTTTAATTATGTTAGAAATCTCAACCAAAAGTATAGCAAAACTCCAATTTATTTTGAAACCAACACACCCGACACTGGCCCACTGCCAGTAGACAGACGGACAGACAGAGTGAGAGACTGTTGTGTGGGCGTGGCTTGTACTATATATACATATTTTGTATTGCAAAATTTGTTATTTGTACAGCTTTTCAAGTTAATCTCGAATCGGAAACTCTCGGAATAAATGGAACATCAAAATCAATCAAGTTTTCATTTTAAGTCAAAATTTATTAATTATTTACGACATTACTTTATAAATACTATGATGATAATTTTGTGAAATTCGTTAATTTTTATTTCCTTATTATGTTTAACAATCTATATATCGATATAGAATTCATTATGTTTTCTTTAATTTCTGTTCCTTACGGCAAAGAAGCTGCACTTTAATTTTCGTTGTTAATCATAAGAGAGGAGTAATTTTGAAATATACATAGTAAAGAGAAATTGAGAATTGAGGATGATGATGATGATGAAGATGAAGAAGAAGAATAAATCGACGGTACGTAAGAGCCAAGCAGCTATACATTTATTGTTAAAAAACAAAAACAAAATAATTAGCTTAGCGTATAAATTACATATGTATATGTACCATTTAATATATAGGCCACTGAAAACAACAAGAAAAACAAAATAATAAAAAAAAAGATTAGTTAAAATTGCGTTTTTGTATTTTTATTTTTATTTTTCTAAGCTTCTCACTGAAATTTCTATGTTTTTAGTTTCTCGTCGTGGCAACGGACCAATTGAGATGGCGCCCCATTAATTCTGATATGATTTCTATTTTCTTCTGCTTTCATACAACGAATCCTCAAAAAGAAAAATATAAAAGAAAAAACAAACAGACTATTGGCCAACTCGAACTCCAACTTTTAAAAACTGTATGTCTAAATGTACATAACAATAATTTACAAACAAATCTAAACACGACTAAACTTGTAGAATATAAGTAGGTTAGGACCGGACAGAAAGACGCTGGAGCTGACTAAGACGATCAAATGATTTGCTGCAAATATTTACCACAACACTGAGCAGAATGAAAAAATGTCAAGTATTCGCAGCAAATACCTTGGGTAGAAGTATTTCGAAGAGTTATCGAAGTTGTTATCGTTTATTATCATTTCAAGCATTGCAATTCTTATGAACTCAGTCACCACACACCTTAACTTAAGAATAGCTTTCAAAAGTGCGCTAAACATAAATGCTATAACGGCTTACGTAACATATACATACATACATAGTACTTATACATAGTATATATACATATATCTAATGGCAATATGATATAAAAGCAAAACGTACCAAATAAGTTAGTGAAACTGCTCAAAATGAACAACAACAACAAAAAAAAAGAAGGAATAATAAGCACAAAAGTATTGTACCACAGAACACAGAAACGCTTTGTTGGCTAGTCCCGAAACCAGAATAGATAGACACGACGACGTTAGGCGGTAGCTAGAGAGGAAGAGTGGATGGGGAGTGGGGGTATATCGGAAGTATATATCGGCAGTGGATTCAATGTCAAAATGATCCTCAAATATCGAACATTTGCTCCTGTTGTGCATTTCTTTGTTTGTTGCTCTGTTTGTTATGAAAAGAAAAAAATAATGTTGAGAGTAATGTTGAAGTAGTCGTTATACCGGTAGAGAGGCAGAGAAAGAGACACAGTGAGAGAGAGAGAGGGAGAGAGAGAGAGAGTGAGAGAGATGGAGAGAGCGCCGGAATACCAAGGAAAAAGATTAGGCATAGAATATGGGAAACGAAAAAACCAAAACCAAACAAAAAATATGAAAACCCCCGAGGGTACTATGTTATACAATATTATTATTACATCATGATTAATCTAATGGTAAAATGCATCGTAATTATAATTATACAACAACAAATGCTAAAAACACAAAAGACAAATGCAAAAACAACAACTTGAAAAACAAAATAGCACGCAAAGTACTCGTAATAACGATAAAAATGAGATAAAGACAAACGGAGTTTTTACCGACGAGGATAACGATAATTATGATGATAAAAAAAAAACAAAAAAACAAAATAAATAAAATGTATTTATTTATTTTAATTTATATATACACTAGAGAGTTATTACAAATATATATATACATAATGTATAAGGCAAAAACAGAACAAGTTATCGAGTTTTATTTAATATCTAGGACAATCCAAAGAATATACACACTGGAGGGATTTATACGATTTTTTTATATAAAATACGAACTGAATTAATTAAGCCCAGCTTAGCGTGGTAAGCCATTTGAAAAACGTTTCAGTTTTGGCTAAGCTGAGTTGGCTACACTGCCAGACAACAACCAAGGGTATGTTTTTGGTATACAACATCAAATATAAATTACAGCTGAGTAAACAGGACAACTTTTCATATGATTTATTGTTGATGAAAACGCATCGGTCTCCCTCAAGGTTATGAGTCCTGACATATATATGGCGCCCACTTGCCACATGTTAACATTGGGCGCCATAAAAACCGTTCGAGCAAATAATAAATACAGTCAAAAAAGAAAGAGAAAAAGAGATAAATTGGGATACTATATTGAGTATGCAAACATTGTTGCGACCTAATAACCCTGACTGAATTACAAGTGTAGGGGAATTTATGAGCAGTAGTTGTAGTAGTATATACACATGTAGGTTTGAGCCTACAGGTTCCATTGTCTCACAGTAATTACACAAGGGGCCCGAGGGGTAGCTTGGACTTTTGACGTCTTCATAACACACGCGAATGAGCCATCAAAAAAGAGAGTGAAAAAAAGGGCAGCATGAAAACTCGAATATGCCACCAACAGTTTTGTTCTCTCTTTTTTTTTTTTGGGAAAACGGTACAACAAATTACCCTGAAATTTCGTTGATAGTCACTAAGGGAATCAGCCGGTTGTGGCCTCGATTCGTATCTGGGAGACGACCACATTCTGAGGCGGCCCATAAATCTGCCAAGTGGACGGAGCAGTCAGTAACTTAAGAACCCAAAACAGCGACAGGTTGCAGCTCAATAAATAGCTAAATAAATATTATATAGTCGTCTATGGGCCGCCGCAAAAAAGGGATGAGTTCATTTAGGGTACAACGACAAGCGAACGCATCTGAGTTCGATTGCAGCAGGTAGCAGCAGCAACTAACTAACAACCTGTTTTCCCGAAGACAATGGCCAAAAGACGGCTGCTGCTGCTGCCGCTGTTGCCGCTGCCGCTGTTGCCGCTGTTGCCGCTGCTGCGGCCAAAATCAAATGGTCCACGCTTTTGTAAACTGGTGACATTTAAAAATTATGGCATGTAAATGGAAGGCATTCTGGGAAGCGTTGACAGCCAGCGGCGCTGTGGTTTATCTACGGAGTGGGGCAGATAGGGGTGAGGGAGGGGGGCTACTGTTAATCAATTTAGTGCCTAGATGAAGTTATTTGTGCTGGTCGTGCGCAGATGGCCCAAAGGATAAGCCACAAAGTGAAAGGTTAGGCGATCCACATGCCCGATAAGCGGCTGAGTCAATACATATTTAGATTGAGTATGCATACATGCATAAATGCATTCATATATATATATATATATATGCGCACATATCTCATAGAAGAGACCTTTGGCCCTACGGGGCGTATGCGTGTTAAAGCTTTCATTCGCTGACATCGCTGTCAAGCTTTGCGCTCTTGATATATGGGCAGCATTAAAGTGCCGCCTTTGGTAATGCGGACACATCAAAGTGCACACACACACACACACACGCACGCACACACATATATATATATATACACATAGTCAAACATTTGCATATACTACACACATACGCACATATTCGTATGCAGCGAAAAGCCATAAAAATCACTTTGTAGTCTTGGCAAAAAGGGGGCCGTTGCGGAGGTGTAGCGGCAGCTTCATGGAGGCGGCGCATCAGCGCAAACTATGCAACAACAACAGTAGCATCACAAAAAAAAAGCACTTCGATTGTTGTATGCAACCCACTGCAAAATACTCTGTAAAAGCAGTTAACACTTCTTATTGCTGACGTAAATGACTCCAAAACTATAATAAATATGCAGTTCTCCGCTGCAGATGTGGGCGTGACTGTAAGCCGATCCTTGAAGCAGTTTGTTTCTAAGAGAAATTCAGAAAGTATAGGCTGAAATGTTGAAGTCTTAGCTTCAGCACAAAACCAATATACTCTTTACCTCTTACAGTGACAGAGTGTAAAAAGTGCAATGCAATCAATTCAAAAGAGCTGTCAGTGTAAGATAAAAAGGCAGAGAGAGAGCATGGGGAAGAGGTTCTTTTTTTTGTTTGGGGCGGACCAGGGGTGTTGGAGTCTGCCAACAGACAGCAAGCAGCATTTAATCCTGCAAAAAGGCATTGCGAGGCAGCATAAAATGATGATAATCCTTAAATAACGTGAGCAACATGAGGGAAGGCTGCAAGGGTGCAGAGGGCTGGAGAGGCTGATGATGGCGACAGCAAAATGCCAATTGAATGCCAGCGGCTTTAAGTGTTGAACAGCGCAAAAGAAATAGTCAAAAGCTGAGAGAAAGACAGAGAATGCGAAGGCAGTTGAAGTGCTTCTGGCGCTGCTAAATTGAAAGCTGAACTGGGCAAATGTTTAACGAACTATGTATGTATATACAAGTTGGGTAAGTTGTTGGGTATCGATAATACAGTATATATAATTAATAATATACCAACAGCAGTAACCCTGAAGCGAAGTTAAAGCAAACATTGAAAGCGTAATGTTTACTCAACAAGTAACATCATATGTCGATATCTTGGGTATTAATGGGTTACGAAAGATGCAATAAGAATTCGTAATGCGATGACTTCATAAACTATAAATAAGCCGTTTGCTTGACTCACTTATTTTAATCAAATGCACCACTCAAATGATGCCAATTTGTATCAAGACCAAAAAACATCAACTGATATTTAACTTAACTTGAACATTGTAAATAAATACTTTGCTTAAGCAGAAAAAATATATTAAAAATTTAAAATTTTTGTTGATAAGATAATTGAGGCTTGAATAAGTTGTATTACAACAAAACCATAATTTTTAAATAAAGAACAATTTCTGATAAATGTTGTTGAAAATCACATTTAAGGCAAGTGTTTGCATTTCGTTAATCTTCAAGTTTTAGCTGTTCCATCAACAACCAAGATATTTTCCTGTAGACAAATTCAGTATCAGTTTGCCTTCCCCATAAGAATGTCTTTAAACATGCCTCCAATCAAAAGTACTTCTTTAAATGAGTGTTGCTTTAAAATTGAAATGTCTACTCGCATACTCATTCACTTCCGGCACATATCGCATCTGAGTGCTGCCATAAAATCCATGATAACATGCCAGCGTCGTTCATCCAATGAAAATATGTTGAGAAAAAGTGTCAACTTGCAGCATTTTTTGGGCACCCGTCAAGCGGTTTGACCCCAAAAAAGTCAAGTGCGCTGCTCCGCTCCGCACCGCACCGCTCCGTTTCTCATCGTTTCCGCTGCTGTTGCGGCTCTCTCCGCACTGTTTTCTGTTTTCCATCCGCGGCCGAGGCATTGAAGCGTGTGGGCGCAGTGGCAAACGGCAGCATCAACAACACCCACCCAATGGCACACAACCGCACGGGCTCAAGTCGCAAAGATGCTCAAATGTTAACTTGGATTCAACTCAGCTCAACTCAACGCTCAGCACAGCTGGCACGCGCCGGCGCACTCAATTGGTCTGATTACTTGGGCGAATTCACTCAAAATGGGGGACGCTAACTGAAACTCGTTCCAACGCTCGTGCTGAGCGGGAGGCGTTGCCATTTTGAGCGGCCGCCATGGCAACCAATCAACACACAACCCCCGAGACAATGACAACGAGCTGTGAGCCAAAAAACCAGTTGAGCGGGTTTCCGTTTGTACAGGGGTGTGTGTGTGTGTGTGTGTGTGTGTGTATGTGTTTGTGTTGTGTTTGCTTTATGCTGCTACCACTCTCGAAACCGGGTCGTCGTCACATCCATCCATGCTGTTGCTGTTGCTGATCCATGCGGCTAAAGCGCCGGCAGTTTATGCAGTGGCTTCGTAGCTGTAACAACGTCGCTCGCCTCAACGCTCGTGAGCTGCCGCAGCCGCTCGTTGTCTCGCTGTCGTTGTCTCAACAATTGCAGACCCCATCAGAACCGTCTTGCAACCGGATCACATCTGGCGTCCGACTCTCTTATCGCGCCACGCGTTCGCGCCCCGTTCGTTTTGATAAGCAGCACCGCCTGCGAGTTTTTAGCGTCGGCAAAAAGAAAAAACCAAAACAAAAAATCATACAAATTTAACAACAAATAATCTATACAAGAAGGAAATAAAATTCGATGCGTTACCTGTGAACAATTTTCAAAATTTCGCATGTGTTAATCAATAAGGAAAAGTGTTGAAATTATCATACTCATATTTATAGTCAGATGCTCGCGCAATCTTTTATGCAATTAATTTGCATGCATTTAGTGTTATTTGCTGGGCGCTTGACAAACTGATCAAGTCGTCAAAACATTTCGGTCGTCCAGCAAACTGGTGATCTAAATTCATAGATCATCTAAGACGCCAAAAAGCTGGCGGAATAATTATTTTTGTTCAAAAGACTTGGATTAAAAATCGCCAAAATTGTGGAGGCAATTAAAATGAAGGTAAGTTTCACTCAATATTAAAGTTTGCAGATAGAGCATTGAATTCTATTTGATAAGATTTGGAATAGGATTTTTGAGGGTATGAGGAAGAAGAGGTGAGTTTCATTCGATATTTTCCAATTGTAGGAACATTATGAAAACAACCAATGAAACATCATTACTTCGACTAAATAGTTAAAATTGATTCTGATCATATTGTCTTGAAATTTTCAAACTTTATCGACACCCACGCATCGATTGAAATGCTGCCTTCCCTTAGATATTTTGTTTTTAATTGATGCACATGTAAAAATCTTTTGGGTTGACCTACAAAACGTGTCGAATAGATATTGAACCAAAAACCCGCTGGGACGCAACAGGCGGCGTTAGTTTTCTGGCAAACGTTGGAGTATGGAGTATGGAGTATGGGAGAGGAACATTGCTATAATATCTAAAACAATGCACGAGGGGGCAATTCAAAGCCACAAAAAAAAAAAAAAAAAGACTCTCTTCGACAAACCGTACTAATAACTTTGGAAAACGATGAGTTTTCAAAACAGAGAACAGACAGGGCAGAGAGTCGGTGAATATTAAAAGCACACAAATCGCACCACGGGGGTGCAACATCGACTGTGGTTATGGCAACGGATTCGGATTCGGATTCGAATTCAGATTGAATGACGACCATGTCAAACCCACACGTTGAATTATGAGAGACGGGCATTTGTTGCTTTTTAGATTTTTTCAATGTATAGCTGCAGTCTGGGGGAATCGAATCATAGGCGCGTTTATCATTAGTTAACGTTTTTAATTTCTGAATATTTGTTTTTTCGTTGTTTTTTGGGGGGAGCCTGGGCTCATGACGACGCTCATTTGAAATGTTCATTCAAAACTTGGCCACAACATCGAAGCGTTTAATCGATTTTTACGTTAAAGATTTTTTTTTTGCCGTACCTCAGGTATATATTTAAGTATTGTATTGTATCTTGTATTTTATTTTTTTCGGGCTGCCACCCGCTGTTCACATTGTGTGAAGTCTGACGCAAGTGCTGAGCCACCCACAGGATTCATGGGCAATACAATGTTGTAAAATGTTAAATATTGGACATTGGACAGCCAATGAGTTGGCTCTTTCAGATACAGATTACATTAACAGACATACAGATTTCGGCAGATATGTTTGTTGCATGATTTATGCTTCGACGGTTTCTACATCATCGTTTTTACATTTTGCATTGGCTTTGTCCATAAACATAATTTTCATTACCATAGCAAATTAGACAAGGTGCTGACGCTTATTGGGCCGCACATAAAAGGCCAAAATGTGTTATAAATTTCAACGAACATTTCAGCTTAGCCTATAATTGATCTAGGCCCAAGAGGAGCCCACGTAAAACCAATTTCCAAAAGATGATCGCATGCTTAATAAATAATATACTATCCAGACTATATATAGTATATGTATATGCTCTATTGGATGCGTCTTTAATAACTGTCAATATGCACAGCGGGAGATCTTAGAGGAAAAGCCGCAGCAGCGTTTTTTACAACTTCGGCTTCAAATCAAATGTCAACAGTTCTAAGCCGCAACTAGACAACAATAGATCCGGGCTTAAGACCCTTTTCTTACTTGACATCATCGATCTTGACCCGCCCCAGTTGTGTAGATAACCGCCTCCTTCCTCCCTGCCGCTAACAAACCAAAAAAAAAACAACAAACAAATAACAACAAAAAAATGACCAAAGCTATGACGCCACAAAGCGCAGCTTATGAATATTCAGTAAATGTATTTTATTTTTTCTCTTTCTCCTATTCGATTTTTATTTTCGAGCTAAGTAAGAGCTACAGGAAAGGCATAAATACTGAAGCGCTCAACTGTCGAATGTGTGCAAGGCAACCATAAAATATACATATTTCAATACTCGTATTTTCATTAATAATTCACTAGTAAATTAAAAAAAAAAAACATACACACACACACAACCAATACAAAAATACATAAAAAATGCTACAGCATACAATGTCTAAGCTCGGCTGAAAAGCTGTAAACGCCTCCCAGAAAGCAACCCCAAGCAAGACAACAGACATGTTTTCTTTAATTGCGAACTCTGCCATAAGTTATAATTAGCTGGGCATCTGAATGATCGTGTGTCGAGCTTAGAATTTAACAATTTGTCTTCAATATGTTCAATATGTCACCTTAGGCTTTCTAAGTTGTGGCAAATTCAAGTTCCACAATGGCAATAGGTCAAAAATAATAAGGGCAAACATGATTCGATGATTCTAATTATATGGAATGCTTAAGTTTGCATTGAAATATTTAGACTGTTTCCTAGATGAAGAATAAAGCTTTGATGATGAGCTAATAAGCCTGATATTGTTGTAGGTGCAAAAAGCAAGGATGTGCAAAAATACATTCTGCATTTAATAATTGACCTTGTAAAATCATTCACTGACATTCTAAAAAATGTAGATAAAATTAAGTAAATATTCTTATCCCGTGTCTTCCGATTTTCCCTTAACCTATGCATAAATATGTAAATATTATTTATATTTCTTATACATGCGAACTCTTAAAATGATTTACTTTTTGAAGAAATGCAAAGAAATTTGCTTGCTTACACTGATAAGACAGCGTACAACAGTTTTATCAGCTTACGCATTATGTGCTTATTGCAACATCTCTTGAGGAAAACAATAGATGTATTTTGTGCAGCAGAACTCAAGCTGAAAACCCACACAAGGTGTTTAGTTCCACAAAGCAACGCGTGCCACACTGCAACGTGTTTCGAATGACAACTTTTGGCAGCTGCCTGGTCAAGCAGATTTTCATGCTCGTAATTGGATTGGCAACAAGATGCTGAAGAGGCAACATCCCAAATGCCTAATTGACAACTGCGGCGTGGCGTGACAATGCTGACAAGAAGTCTACACCCGACAATAGTCAAATAAATCTCACACAGTGCCCGAAAGAAAATGCATCTTGACTTGAGCCAATTGCCCCGATCAGGCACGAAAGACAAACAAATATCACACCTTTGTTTATGCGCAGACAAACAGACTCAAAAGATAGTAGACAAAGGTAAAACCGAAACAACAATTCGAGTGGTCAACTTGGAGAGTCCTTCTTTGGGTTGCGCATGCGCCTCTGTAATTTGTATTGCACTCTTCCTCCTTCCCTCTCTCACTCTCTCTCTCTCTCTCTCTCTCTGTCTACCCCACTGTCTCCTGGGAGAAACGTGTCAGAGTCAGCAGCAGCAAGCAGTTTTAGCAGGTAAATGTGAAAATTCCCAAAATGAAAATCAAATGCAGACGCCAGTTCGACAGCCGGCAAAAGGCAACCGCACAAAAGAAATTGAAAATCGCCTGAAGTGTCGTGCTTGAGGTCTCTGTGGCTCATTGTTCGTCGAGTGCATCCGCAAAATAGTCCTTAAAGGACGCTTAGTTGGCTTACAAATGATGCATGGGCCCAACCAAAAAAAAAGGGGCTCGACGCCCAACGGCGGCAAATAAAATTGTAAAATGCCACAAATCATTGCAACTCCTATCTATACCAAGTATGTCTGTATGTGCATTGTGTCCTGTCAATGGGTACTCGACAACAAAAATAAAATAAAAAAAAAAGAAGAAAACCCGCCCCTAAATCGTTGTCAGCCTGCATACGTACACGTCTACATATGTATACTTACCCCCCAACCCCTGGCAATCTCCCTCCTGATTCTGGCTAACAATCCGTAACGACAAACCATTCGATTTTAGTTTACATTTTCCGCAAACTTTCATCGTTTGGCAAAATAAATGTTTGCCTGTTGTCTTTTTGTCGATTTTCACATTAGTTTTTCCAGCAGTAACAATTTTCCATTATTCATTCTGTCCGTGTGTGTGTGTTTGTGTGTGCTTGTGAAAATATTGTTATTTAATTGTTTGGCAATTGGCAAAAAGCTTTTGGAGAGCACTGAACAAATGATTGGGTCATTGACTAAAGTCGTATCTTATCTTTACCTGTATATCTAGCACAGTAGCCCGATGAGAAATTGAACTCGATTAGGTTTTTTGAAAAATGCCGCCGATATATTTCAAAGTCGTTTTAGCCAGGTTCTAAATAAATTAAACATACGGAGCTGAGGAGCATAAATTCGAGCTGAACTTCAAACTTGATTTATTGTTTAAACATAAACATAGATGATCGAAATTTGCATTCAAAATAAAAGACGCGATTTTTGTGTGCCGAACAGCAACAACAACAATAACAATAAAAACAGCAACAAAATGACGACAGCCAAACCGAAAGCAAATATTAAAATATTAATATTAATTTATGCAAAATGCAGATTTAACTAATTAATTGTAGTCAATGCCCAATAAAAAATACAAAGAGGAAAAAAAATATCAACTTTACACAATGCAAATCGTAAAAGATGCGAGCGCCGCTGCTGTAAAAAAAAACAGATACGTTCACATCTCTGCTGACGTCGACTTATTGATGTTTAGTGTCGCTGTGACATGTTGACGAAAAGACAAAAGGTATTCAGAGATTGTGTTTGTGGCTCATCGACTCATCTTCAAAGCAACACGTATGATGAATGCCTGAAAAATTCGATAATCATAAACGAAAATATTATGTGCAAAAAACCGGAATATTTATTAAACCGAATCGAATTTACTCTTAAACTGCTTGGAATAGTTTTATAAACATTTTTACGAGGTGCACAGAATACGAAACCAAATTCCATTTAAATTTGCGTGTTAATTCTAATTAAATCATTTAAGGATAAGCGTTAAAAACACAAGCGTTAAAACGAGTTTTTACTGAGATTGTAAGAAAATTACGATTGGAATTCAGATTTTATTGCTTGAATTTGATATTCCCTCCAGCGAGTTATCGATTCCAGTAACTCAATATTTCCTCGGGGTACATTTAAGAAAATTAGTTGATTGCTAAACATTGGAGATTCTTGTACCAATCTCTTTACAAGCCAAACCTCAGTCATTAACTCATTGTACCTTGCGAAAGGGTATA